CCCCAGGTCCCTCCCAAGCCGCTCCGAATCCAACGGCACACAACAATGCAGATGGGAACATTCGGAGACCCAAGCGCAAAAGGACCGTTCCCCTCTCTGTCAGGGTTCCTTCGTACATGTTGAGGCCGGGCCACGTGCTTGATGTACGTCGCGTCCATTCAGCTGACTCGATGTACATTTTCTCACAAATGCGTCCCGCATATGCAGGCCGAGGACACTCGGGAGATCATCGAGCTGGCAAAAAAAGTCTGTGGCATAAAGGATGACCCGTTCGAACGCTTCCGGGTAATGCCCCCCCTTCTGCGATCCTGTTCTCGGCTGCGCATGCTGACGCGTGTCATGTTCATTTGTTGCAGGGGGACCCCGCCGGTTTACGCAAGTTCCTGAAGGCGGAGAACAGGCGAGAGAGGGAGGAGATCCGGACTGAGGAAAGGGAGCGCAGCAGAAAGCTGCGGAATCTCGAGCGGAGAGTAAAGTATGCGCAGAGGCAGGTCCACGCGATGATTCACCCCCGGCCGCCCCGTCCCGAAATGGATGGCCCCGTCATTGTTGTTGTTGATCCTAGATAGATTGATGCGCGTGGTGGTTTTGATGTATGTTGTGTGATGTCTTTGTTGCTTCGGTGCTTGGGATTTGACGTGTGTGCCGCGTATATTAGTAGGTAGTTCTTTGTGCCCGTGTGTGATGTCTGAGACTTTGTATTAGTAGTTTGTACTTAGTAGTATCGGATGGAACTCGATGTCTTGTTCGAACGGGGCCTAGCGGGCTGATGACTTACATCTGTATAACGCTGATAGACGAAGTTCGCGGCTACTAGTGGCTCGCTGACGTTGCTTTTCGCTTGCCTTGTATAACAAGCAGACAATGAACGAACAAAGTGGCTCATGCATACGCCCTTCACAGACAGACCGATGAGCAAAAAGCATTGATCCCGGCTACACAGGAGGACAACTAATCAAGAAGCGTATAAGTTCCAACCGCAACGCAGAACTACATCCGTATTATACATTCACAAGGATGCCTTCTTTTGCTGCAGGAGTTGGTTTTGAATGATCAACATCAATGCATAGAACGTCTCAATTCTCTACAGAAGACAATCAGGTACACTCCTACCCATAGAAGCTAAAGATACTCACCGGCATCGGCACGCCCTCCCGGCGGCCCATCCTCACCAGTTCACCGAGGATGACCTCCACCTCCGTCGGGCGGCCATTCTCGACGTCCACGAGCGTGCTCGCGCGGTGATTCGCTTCGGGGCGCGCGTGCAGTCGTGAAGTGTTCACGAGCGTCTTGCGCACGATGTCCGGGTCGAGCCCGGGAGGCCCGGACTCGGACGGCGGGAAGAGCACCATGCCGAGTGCATACACCTCGCTCATCGCATCGTACAATAGCGGGATGGCGTATGTGCTGATGGCGGGGGACGCGCTGGGGATGTCCGCGGTGGCGGCGGCCGAGGGCGTTTGCGGCTCTTGATTTGGGTTGGTTGGCTCGGGAGCGGGAGGGGCGGTCTGCGAGGCGCCGGGCGCGAGGTGCGGTGGGCGGAAGACGGCAGTGAGTGGGAAACGCGTGAGGGCGGCTGTGATGCCGAGGCAGGCGTTCCAAAAGTTTTTGGAATATTTGACGCGTTGGATCTCGGGGACGACGGTCGTCTCGGTACCGCCCGCTGCGAGGATGTGTGCGAAGTCTTCGAGAATGGCAGTTTCTTCCGGTGTGTTTTCGGTGTTGTTCGTGGTGGGGCGGTATATGCCTAGCGATACGCGATCCTGAGGCGAAGCCATCAACCAGTACATAACTATCGTAGGCCGTGCGGGATGAGTCAGAGGCTCACGAATTCAGAATGTTCTACGGTGTTGCTGTTCAGCATGCCTGTGCCGATCCAAACAGCAGTGCTGATGATCCTGGGCTCTTCGGACGTGTTCAGTTTCTTCAGAGCGTGGTACAGATCGACCTCGACATTGAGGCCGTTCTGCATCAGAACGTATGTCGGCTGCAGATATTTGTCGGCATACTCGGGCTGCAGCAGGGGTTCCAAAAGGGTCGAGGTGCGTATCAGCTCAGGGATCGCCTTTGTCGTGATAACGACATAAGAGTATGGGCGGTCGAGGGCTTGCGCGACAGACCGGAAGACTGAAGTTTCAGTAATTGATCGGTTAATCTAGGGTGAGTTCTAACAGAAAAGAGATGGTACACGCACGCCTATCTGGCTTCCAGCCCTGGAGCTCTCCATACTTGCGGCTCTTGATGTTCAATCCGTGAGCTTCGCGTTGGTCTCACGTCAGGGCCGCCTCCGAGATCACATTGTACAAGATGATGATACGGACCGTTAACGGCATCATAATTACTCCTTGCGACGGCAGTGATCCGAGCAAGGCCACTTCTCTTCAAAATCAAGGAATCTGTGCCACCACATAAAGCGCTCAGATGACTGGGAAAGCAGATAACGAGTGCTGGTTACAGATTGCGCCTACCGCGCCGAAACCGACGAGCAGGACGTCTTTATAATGAGAAGTCATTTTTGTCTCGTACTCTGTCGTCCCGCGCGGCCAGGTGCGTTCAAGGAAGAAAGGACTTGCGCAATGCGTGCGGCAGTAGTCAACCCGCGATTCTGATCGCATCAACCTCTTTGCACCTGTGATCACGCTCGCAGCCAATCTCTCGTGGGCAGGCAAGACAATTCCTTCAACCTGCGCGGGCTCCCGGAGAACCTTACTCACCGCTACTATGGCTGAAACGGGGTGAAACGGTATCGGCGGAGCGGCCGTCTCAGTATATATGCATTCGGATCCCCCGACCATTACTAGTACTGCACATTGCTCTCTGCTAGCAGCATCACCGACATGGCGATGGATCCCACTTCGTTTAGGCAACTCACAACGCGCCGCGGCATCAACTACAGCTACTTTGTCTCCACTGGACAGTCTTCCAGTCCAACCTTGCTCCTGCTTCATGGCTTCCCCTCCACTGCATACGACTGGCACCTTCAGGTTCAATTCTTCGCCAAGGAAGGATACGGTATCATCGCGCCTGATCTGCTTGGCTCTGGAAAGACGGATAAGCCGCTGGATCCGTTGCTCTACAAGCAGAGCGAGATGAGTAAAGATATCATCGATATTCTCGACGCCGAGAATGTCGAGAAGGCTATCGCGATCGGACACGACTGGTACGATGCGCCCTGTTAGAGTACCGTTGGTCTCACGTTTTATGGGAATGAGTGCAGGGGGTGTGCCTTGGTGTCGCGTCTCGCGAATTATTTCCCCGAACGCTTCATCGCGTTCGCGTTCCTGGCTGTTGGATACATGCCCCCTTCCGTCCCCTTCGACTACGAGGCTGCCTTGGCCATCACTAAACAAATCTTAGGATATGAAGCGTACGGATACTGGGAGTACGTAGCGGCAAGTCTTCTGAGGACGCTCCTCATCCAATCGTGTACAGGTTCTTTGTGAGGGATGAAGAAGCAGACCAGATAATCAAAGACCATGTATGCGGTTTGACTGTCACAGTTTCAAATCTCGACTGATCGACTAATCTCTCTGCACAGTGGGAGTCGTTTTTGACGCTCTCATACCCGTCCGACCCCACCATCTGGCGCACGCACCTGTGCCCTCGAGGCGGTATCAAAGCACACCTGTTAAGCGGAGATATTGCTCCATCTCCATCCTACCTGACCGAAACTGCAAGTTCTAATCTCCCTCTATGGTCATTGCACACTGATGGCCTTTAAAACAGGACAAGAAAGCCATCTCGACCGCCATCCTTTCCGGTGGTCTTAAAGGAGCCTTCAACTGGTACCGGATCATGCTCGACGGTATCACGGACTCAGACGACAAGCGTATGCTCTGCTATTCTTTTAACTTCACGCCGCTTTAGATCTGATACTTGTGACAGAGATATCAGAGTCGAGGCAGACTATCACGCAGCCGGTGTTCTTCGGCGCGGCAAATCGCGACTACGTCTGCGTGCCGGCGCTGGCGCTGGCGCGTATGAAAGAGTTTTGTCCGGACTTGACTGTGAAGGAGTTTGATTTAGGGCATTGGGTGCAGCTCGAGGCTCCGGAAGAGGTCAATCGCGAGTTGGCAGCTTGGATTCAGGGTGTGACGAAGGCTAAATTGTAGATCGGAATGCATGTGTATCTGTGTTGGGTCTTTCAAACGATGTCCGTGGATGAGTGGTGCACTCGAGTGCCCGCAATGGATATAATTAAACGTGACTCCTCTATCAATTCGTGGTTGTAGCATTTTTGAACATATCGGTGGAGAACACATGTACAAAGAAGGAACCAAAAAAAAAGAGATACTCGCCACCACCGTTCGCGGGGCCACATATCACGTGAGCGTCGCGTTTTCCGGACGTTGGGTCGTGTCTCCTTTCCTGGTGCAACTTGCTTTGGTCTTGCTCTGCTCGCAATCTTTACGCTGGAACTTGTTTTGTATGACCTGAACCTGAGTGAGTCACCGAAAGGTCGTTCTGCATGCGACTCTGACCCAACCGCCATCTGGTGTTTACTCTCCGTCCTTTGGTCTCGCCACACTCTTCCTTGACATCTGAGATCTGAACCTGAGTGGCACCGCGAACTGCGCAACTGTGATCCAGTCTTCGTGCTCGTCGACCATGGGGAACGCTCAATCGCTCACGCGCACGACCGGTGCGCTTGACTCCTTCGTAGCTGAACTGGGAGCGGACATCGTATACGAAGGAAGGTAGGCCTGACCGGAAGTTATGGAATCTTTACCTTCCATGTTCACCTCAAGGCTGCTATTAGTATGGGATCTGCACGCTTCTTGAAGACCGTGAAGTGTCGGCATCGGAACGGTTATCTGGTAGTCAAGATCTTCGTCAAGCCGGACCCTGGCTTGAGTTTGAGGAAGCAACATCGAAGGTTGAGAGGTGCGTAGTTCTTATGACGGTTTCTGAACGAAATCATGATGCGTCGTAGTTGAGCGAGAGGCGCTGGTGGACATACCGAATGTGTACAGCTATCAGGCGTTCGTGGAGACGGACAAGGCTGGGTACATTATCCGTCAGTGGATTGCGAGCAGTTTGTATGACCGGATCAGGTGCGTTGACATACACTTGATTGGTGCTCACGTCTTCATATATTATTGGATTCCAGCACTCGCCCATTCCTGAGTATGATCGACAAAAAGTGGATCGCGTTCCAGCTACTGAACGCTCTCCGCGATGCACGCAACCGGAAGGTCTCGCATGGCGACATCAAGTCAGAGAACATCCTCGTGACATCATGGAACTGGGTCTACCTATCCGACTTTGCCTCCTACAAGCCGACGTACCTGCCTCTCGACGACCCGTCAGATTTCTCGTTCTTCTTCGACACCTCCGGTCGCAGGACGTGCTACATCGCACCTGAGCGATTCTACACTGCTGCGGATAACCCTGATATCAGCGCAAAGAAGTTTCGGCTGGCCACAGACGATGGCGAAGGCAGGCGGGACGGAAAAGTGACGGAAGCGATGGACTGCTTCAGCGCCGGATGTGTTATCGCTGAACTATTCTTGGAGGGCGCGCCGCTCTTCACGTTGAGCCAGCTGTTTAAATATCGTGAAGGGGAGTTGAATGTTGATGCGCAATTGAGTGCTATCGAGGACGAGGGTGTCCGAGTACGTCCTTTCCCAATCGCGATTACGTGGGCAGATTCCCTGACGACCGTGCTGTAGAATCTTATCAAGCAGATGATCGCAGTTGACCCTTCCACAAGGCCGACTTTCGATTCCCTGCTGCACATGTCGCGCGGGACAGTGTTCCCTGAGTCGTTCTATTCGTTTTTCCACAACTACGTTCAATCGATCAACGAGCTGTCGTCAACGTCTGCGTTCGCCCTTGCCTCTCCGACGCTACACGCCATCACACCATCGGTATCTACGAGCGCCACCGTGAAGAGCTCACCTACCGTCGCGTCTGCCTCCGGCACCCTCGCAGGCGACGCGTCCAACGAACCGTTCCCGAGCGATTCAGACCGGAGGATGGAGAGGATATGGATGGATTTTGATAGCGTGGAGCCATTTTTGACCATAGATGATGCAGGCGAGACGACCGTAACTGACGTAAGGAAGGAGTTTTCGACATCTTCGGGACCTTCGAAGCCACTCCAGGTATGTCAGCGGCGCGAATGCGCGGTTAGGTATCTCTTCATTGCTGAGTTTATGTCAGGACGTCCTGCCCGTGGAGTTGTGCCTACCGAATCGAGTCAGTGAGATTCAGGGATCTCACAAGCGTGCCCCAGCTGAAGGCGAGTACCCCTCATACTAAAGACATCGACACCAGCTGAATTATTGTGTGTACAGACGGCCCTGCCCTGATCGTCCTCGCCCTCATTTGCGCCAATATCAGGAACTGCACATTGCCAAGCTCGAAAGTGCGAGCGCTGGATGTGCTACTCGCGTTGTCGCTATACCTCACGGACGAAGCGAAGCTCGATCGGGTAGTGCCATATGTGGTCGATTTGCTACACGACGATGCCGCCATCGTCCGCGCATCTGCGTTGCGCACTCTCATGCAGCTTGTGAGTCAACGATCCATATAGATGCGACTCAAAGGCAACTGATGGTCTCTGTCGTTAGCTAATGTTGGTCACGGTGATCACGCCCTCAAATGCAGCGATTTTTCCGGAATACATCATACCGGCCATTTCGCACCTAGTCCGCGACCCAGAGGTCTTGGTGCGGTGCATGTACGCGCAATGTATCGCGTCCCTTGCGGATACTGCGGTGCGGTATCTGGAGATGGGCCAGGCGCTGAAAGCGCACGGGTCATACAAGTTGTCTCCCGATACGCAGGAATATGATGAGGCTCACTTCGAGGTTCGTGGCCTGGCATTCTCGAGTGCTCCGAGATGAATTTGGAGAATAGGTATCTTATGACGCTAGCATGCAAGAACTCCACAATAGCATTCAAGAGCACCTCTCCACGCTGCTCATCGATCCCTCCAGTGTCGTCAAGCGTGCTGTTCTGCACAACATCTCGTCGCTCTGCGTATTCCTTGGGCGGCAGAAAACGAACGACGTCCTGCTCAGTCACATGATCACCTACATGAATGACTCGGATTGGTCGCTCCGCTACGCGTTTTTTGACTGCATCGTCGACGTCGCTGCCTGCGCGGGTGGGAGGAGCTTGGAGGAGTACATCTTTCCTTTGATGATTCAGTCTTTGTCTGGTAGGTCCTCGGTCCGAGTCCGAGTGCCGAGATGTTGATTCAATCTGGATGATTGCAGACGCAGAGGGCACTGTGGTCGCGAGGGTGCTTGCGTCGCTGACAAGTCTTTGCGAATTGGGGCTGTTTCAGAAGATGCGGATATGGGAGCTTATGAGCGCGACTCTCGGCTTCCTGTATCATCCGGACGTGTGGATACGTCAAGGTTCGTCCTGTGGCCTCATGTGCGAGTGCATATCGTCTAATTCTCGACGTGGTTAGGTGCCGCAGCCTTCATCGCGTCAGCCGCAAAGCACTTACCGCCTGGTGACGTCTGGTGTGTCCTCTACCCGTCCTTGAAACACTTCCTTCGTTCGGACGTGCGGGACGTGGATGAGCGTAGCCTCTTGATCGCGTTGAAGCCTCCGGTACGTCCTTTCGTCAACACTTAAATAATGACGAATCTCAACGTCGCTATGCTCAGCTGTCTAGACAAATCTTCGACGCAGCGGTGCAGTGGGCGATGAAGTCCGAGAAGTCAACTTTCTGGAGGACTTATCGCGGTGCAAAACCTGATTCTCCACGAGACAGCCTTGCAGCCGTACGACCGGCAGGAGCGGTCAGTTCGAGAGCAAGGACAGAAGAGTTGCGTCGTTCCTTAGCTTGACGGCTTGCATCTTCTGATTCATAGTCATTGTACAGAGACGAGGCTCAGCTTACCAAGTTACAGCATCTCGGCATGACGCCAAGTGAGGAGAGCAAATTGTTGGCAATGCGCGATTATATTCACAAGCTGGCACGAAATACATCGAGGTAAACGCTTTTACTGTGAGATGTTGTTACAACTTTCCAAATCATATGACGATTTTAGCTTCACGACGCGTGGCAGTACTGATGTGGAATCGGAGAATCTGAGAACTACCAGTGGGATCGAGCTGCAGAAGCTAGGGGTAGTGCCACAGACTGTCTTTTTGAAAGCTCGGCGATCGGTCTCAGCTCGCAGATCGCAGTCCGACTTGTCGCAGGGGTCTCCAATGCCTGGGACGCCTCGCTCAGGAAGGACGTTCAGCATGGATCACGGTATTACCAGCGGCGCCCCCTTCGAAGACCTACGCCGGCGTCTTGCCATCATCAACGGGTCGGCTTCCTCACTCACAATTCAAAGTTCGCGAGATTCGCGCAGCCCCGTGCTGTCGCAAGGAGACCCACCATCCTCCGCTCCTATCGACGTGCCGAATGCCTTCCCTCGTTCAGGCAGCCCGACCGAGTCCATAGTCTCGATGACGAACCCATCAGCGTCAAGACCTATGCGGATTGGGAGTATCGACGGACAGAAGGCCGCGCCTGCTGTTGGCTCATCGAGGGCGAATGCCACCGGCCTGCTGGATGTGCATGCGTATGCACACTCGGATGCATCTGAGGAAAGGTCTGGGAGGACATCGCCTCATTCGCCGGCCGGTACGATCCGTGCGCAGGAAAGGATTCGCCCACCGTCCTTGGCTCCGATATCGACCTATGGTAGGAATACATTCCTGTGTCCTCCAGCATCGTTTAATCCTTTCCTTGCCACAGACGGACACGAGCCGGGGATCAATAGCCTACTCGAGCACCTCTATTTGGACAATACTCGTGAGCTGCAGAATGACTTTGGCCCGCATGTGCACGAGGGTCCTGTACGGCGTCGCAACGCAGCGCGACATAGCTACGTCGCTAGAGATGGAAGCTCTCGTCGGCCGGAGACAATGCTCATTACGCATCTTAGCTCGCATTCAGACGCTATCACAGGCTTGGCTGTGTCGCCGGACCACATGTTTTTCGTGTCCTCGTCCGACGACAAGACGGTCAAGATCTGGGACACGGCGCGCTTGGAACGGAATGTGACAAGCAAGCCCAGGCATACTTATGGGCAGCATCACGCGAAGGTTAAGTGCGTGTGTACGATCGAGGGTGTGCATTGTTTCGCCAGCGCTGCCGATGATGGGAGCTTGCACGTCGTTCGGGTGCGTGTCAGTCAGACTGGGACGTTGCCGAAGTACGGGAAGTTGCAAGTCATTCGCGAACATCGACTGGAACAGGCGGGGGAATACATCACTACCATGACGCACTATATGACGGGTACGAGTCCTTCGCATCGTACCACAGTTGAGACCTAACCACAGGGCTTGCAGATACTTCGTCCAATCTGATCTATGCTACCACCCACTGTGTTATCTCCATCCTCGATCTTCGGACAATGCGTCAATTACAACAGATGGAGAACCCGCGCCACTACGGTCCGATCACCTGCCTATGTCTAGATCGCAAACGCACGTGGGTCGTCTGTGGGACTTCGACTGGCGTGCTGTCGCTGTGGGATATTCGCTTCGGCATTCTGATAAAGAGCTGGAAAGTAGCTGCCGCGGCTAAGAACAAGACTGCCAGGATATACCAGTGTGTCGTCCATCCAGCGAGGGGCAAGGGCAAATGGATCATAGTGGCGATGGAGACGCTCAAGTCCGTCTCTCGACAGCATACACTACTCGAGGTTTGGGACATCGAACGATCTGTTCTTGTCGAGTCCTTCGTGAAGCGGAATACCGCAAACGCCTCGGAGGAAACGGAAGAGCCAAGTGAGGTCCCCGCCGACGAAGCTGAAACGAATCCTGCTGCAGCCATTGCGGCTCTCGTGCGCTTGCGGCAAGAAAGTGGTGGCTCTGGAGAGTCATTCGCACGACGAGCGCGACTGTCCGGCGTGCCGGGACTCGACCAGCCTTCCCCGCTATCACCGGATGTGCGTGCCGTAGTGGTGGGCACTGAGTTTGGTGGCCATGCTTTCACGCGTTCTGTGATATCAGAACAGCAAAGGGACAGCAGGGGCACTCGTTTATCAAGTGGACGTGGCTTTCTGCTTATTGGCTCAGAGGACCGTCGCGCACGATATTTGGACCTGGCTCGCGTGGAACGGTCTATGGTGTTGACCGGTCTCGAAGTCGAAACGGAGAAACCGACATACAGGTACGTACATGTTATATGACGCTTCCGGTCTAGGATTTAACATCGATTCTAGCACAATTCGTGCCACATCGGGCACTGCTTTGGCGCTGGTAGAGACCTGGGTCGCACCAGCGAACTCTGGTCACAGTAATCGTTCACCGCTACGACTGTCGTTGATAAACCACAATCAGCAGAACCTGCTCAAGGGTCATCAAGATACGATTACTGCACTAGCATGCATCGACTCACCATTCAGAGGCGGCGTTATTAGCGGCGATCGGGCAGGAGTTCTCAAGGTATGGCGAGTAGAAGGATTGGACAATTCATGAAGGACTGTTTGTGGTTAGGATATTGTATTATAAGGAGTGTTTGCTTGATCAGTTTGCTACTTCCCCGATGATCGACCTGAGCACGACTACAATGCATTGGTATCCAAAAATCTGATCTTGTGAATCTCCATCTAATCTTATCTTGGCGCTCTAGAGTGACTCGCAAATCAGACGCGTTGATCACTTGCATTCCACTCTTTGCATGCTGAGGTCTCTGCATCGACTGCAGCCTCTTAGAACCCGTATACCATCTCGCGTCTGCAGCACTCCTAGACTCGGATATCGTCTGCTTTCCCACATGGCTACTCCCGTCGCATCGTCTTCTCATCCAGCGCAATTGCCCGCCCTGGAGTCTGCTCATGCGCACGACGCGCTCCAGGGCAATAACGGCAATGGAGCGAAGAAGCCTAAAGAGAAGAAGGACAAGGGTGCTTCAGCATCAGTGGGCTCGCTTGAGGTGAGGCTTGCGACCTATCCTGTCGTGCAAGCTGACTTTGAGTATATGTAGCTGCAGCCTCCCCCGGAGTTTTTCGATCACCGAATCAAGATGTTTGATCAGCTGAAGGCCGAGTACGATGCATGGGTGAAGGGTGCGTCCGAAATGTAGGGAAGTGTCCGATGGCAGCTGACGAATCACTGTAGCCCAACCTCGCGAGGAGATCGAGATTACACTCCCCGACGGCTCGAAGCGCAAAGGCACGAGCTGGGAAACGAGCCCGATGTCGGTCGCGAAGGAGCTCTCGCAAAGCCTTGCAGATCGTGTAGTCATTGCAAAGGTAGGAGTTTCATATGCTCTCAATGATATCGGCCGAGCTCTTCATGCGGTATTTAGGTCAATGGCGCAGTGTGGGACTTGGAACGACCTCTGGAAGCTTCGTGCTCCCTTGAGCTATTGGATTTCAACCACCCGGAAGGTGAATCGACTATGGATATGTAAACCTAGCGTGGTGTTTGACTTACGTACAGGCAAGCGAGTATTCTGGCACTCATCTGCGCATGTCCTGGGGGAGGCAGCGGAGCGCCATTACGGCTGCCATTTGTGCATTGGTCCGCCTACCGACGAAGGGTTCTTCTACGAGATGGCGATTGATGACAGGTAAGCTTGTACTTTTCTCCGCAGGGTTCGTGTGCTCAAGTCATCTCCCTGCAGAGTGGTCACAAATGCGGACTACCCATCACTCGAGAAGCTCTCGGACGTCGCGATCAGGGAGAAGCAAAAGTTCCAGCGGCTCGTCGTGCCGAAGGAGAAACTTCTCGAGATGTTTGAGGTACATATCATCGTGCCTCGAATCGTCGCGCCGGTCCATGCTGATAGCCATTTTATAGTACAACAAGTATAAAAAGCATCTGATCGAGTCAAAAATTCCGGACGGCACGTCTACCACTGTGTATCGTTGCGGCCCGATGGTTGACCTGTGTGTCGGCCCACACATTACTCACACGGGCAAGATCAAGGCGTTTATGATCACGAAGGTGCGTCCACCTTCATCATCTCCGAAGCCCTTGCACGTAAATTATGGGGACAGAACTCCGCATCGTACTTCCTCGGGGACCCGAACAACGACTCGCTGCAGCGTATCTACGGTATCTCCTTCCCCGACAAGCAGCAGCTCAAGGAGTACAAGGAGTTCCTCGCTGAGGCTGCCAGGCGGGACCACAGGAAGATCGGCAAGGCGAGTCGGTATAGACAACCGTTTCCTTTTGTGCTGACCAACGGGTAGGAACAAGAGCTGTTCTTCTTCAATGACCTGAGCCCTGGTAGCTGCTTTTGGCTCCCACATGGTACTCGTATCTACAACACGCTCGTCGAGCTCATGCGGGTGCGTGACTATCCTCCAATTCGTGGGCAATGACGATCGACATCTCTTCGCAGTCTGAGTACTTCAAGCGTGGTTACCAAGAAGGTAATTTCTCGATGCTTCCCGAGCCACACTCTCGCTGACGTCCTGCATAGTCATCTCGCCAAACATGTACATCAGCAAGCTGTGGGAGACGTCCGGCCATTGGCAGAACTATAAGGACGACATGTTCACGCTGAACGTCGAGAAGGAGCAGTGGGCGCTCAAGCCGATGAACTGCCCGGGTCACTGTCTCATCTTCGATTCGCGCGACCGCAGCTATAAGGAGCTGCCCATCCGCATGGCCGAATTCGGTATCATCCACCGTAATGAGGCATCCGGCGCGCTCGCAGGCCTCACGCGTGTGCGCCGCTTCGTACAGGATGATACGCATGTGTTCTGTATGCCATCGCAGGTATGTTCACATTCGATTATCTAGATAGAGCAAATTCTCACGAGAAAGCTGTGCATGAACAGATCGAGGAAGAGATCGGCAACCTGTTCGACTTCATGCAGCACATCTATGGCATATTCGGCTTCGACTTCCACTTGGAGCTCTCTACCCGCCCCGAAAACTATCTCGGCACCATCGAGACATGGAACGAGGCAGAAAATGTGCGTACATCACTATCTGCCTCCGTTCCCAAATTGACGGTACATCATCCCAGCAACTGAAGAAGGCGCTCAATAAACAGTACCCCGGCAAGTGGGAGATCAATCCGGGCGATGGCGCGTTCTACGGGCCTAAGATTGACATCACCATCAAGGACGCCCTACGTCGCTCCTTCCAATGCGCGACGATCCAGCTGGACTTCCAGCTGCCGGAGAGGTTCAACTTGAAATATCGCAGCGCGGATGACAGCGCCAGCGCTGACAAGCCTCCGTCGCGCCCGGTCATCATACACCGCGCTATTCTCGGTAGTCTGGAGCGTTTCATTGCTATCGTTACGGAGCACTTCGCTGGCAAATGGTCAGCCGTCATGAGTCGATAGCGCTTTGGCATAGCTGACGAGAATGCACATCTAGGCCATTCTGGTTGTCTCCCCGTCAGGTTCTAGTTATCCCCGTCGCGGCGCCCTACGTACGTTCTCCCTCATATATCCAATCTGCTTATGCTGATAAGTGTCTGTCGTCCTGCAGAAAGATTATGCTGCCGAAATCGCGCAAAGGCTCTCCGACCTCGGCCTCTTCGCGGATGTCGACAACGGCGATAACACGTTACCCAAGAAGATCCGTAACGGCGAAATTTCCCAGTACAACTTCATTCTCGGTGCGTCGGAGTGCGTTGAGTTGAAACTTATATCTGATGCATCGCTTCTTTAGTCGTCGGACAGGAAGAACTTGATAGTCGCTCCGTTAACGTCCGCAACCGCGATGATGTCGGCACCAAGACGCGATCCGAACAATTGCTGCCATTGGAGGAACTCGAGCGGAAGCTTGTCGCATTGAAGACCACCAGGATTCTGCACAACAAGCTCGCGTAATTACATAGAGCATTGCTTTGTCGGCGTATGTTTTTTTGGCTGTCTGGTCGTTTGTGCTATGCTGTATGTACCTCGAGAGAAGTAAGAGGGGAGTGTGTTACACCGCGCGTGTCAAACATCGTCGAGCAGGTTACTACGGGTTAGCGCCAAGATGAACTTATACCGTGCCCAAGAATTGTTTGCGCTGTATATAAAGAGATGAGACAATCGCGTTGAAAGGACTTAATTCATCAGAAGAGTAACGCACGAGTTGCTGTATCTGCTCTCGCTCTGTCGGAGGTAGCGAGTTGATTTGCGCTTCCGTCAGACTGAGGACTTGCATCAACATATCCTGCGATACATGTAATATTAATATTGCTGCAATACAACGAGAAACATCGCGCAAACGTACTCTCTGGGCAGGATCAAATGCAGGTACAGCAGTTTGTGCTGCTGGCTGCGGGACGGGCTGTGGAACCGCCTGGGCAACAGGCTGGGGCTGGGCAGGCGGTGGGGGGCGATAGTACGGCGATGGAACCTGCTGCATGTGAGCAGCAGCAGGCGGATACATCGGCGCCTGAGCAGGGATCGGCGGAGTCGGATGATGCACGGGCGTGTGCGGCATCGCCATGGACGGTGGGAACACCTGCTGCGGCTGCATTGGCAGGGGTTGCGCATACGGCGCAGGGGCTTGGGGCGGTACCTGGGGTTGTGTAGGCACGGAGGCACTTGTCGCCTGAAGCATGCGCTGCACGTGTTTTGGTGAGAATGCAGGGAGTGGAAGACCCAGTTGTATTGAGTGTGGCATACCTTAAGAATTGCCGGGTCGACGATGTTATTTAACAAAAGCGCTTGGAATAGCGCGTATCCAAGCTGGGGGTGTGCAACAAGCAGCGTGCGCGCCTGCTCCGGGTGGGTGATCACGAACGCCTGGTGTATGCACGTGTCTACAAAGCGCTACACCGCCGGGAAACTAAGGACCCACACGCACCTTCATTTGTGCGAGGACCTCGAGGATCTGCGTTGGGTTCGTCGTCGCAAGCATCTGGCTAATCGTGTCGAGCGCGGTAGAGTTAGGCGAGACTGGCACGCCGGGCGGGAGATTCGCAAGGAAGGCATTTGGGTCGTTGCTCTTTCCGCGCTCCTGGTGCCGCTCGCGCCACTGGGCACGCGTCTCGCCGCCGTCGATGAGCTCGCCTCGGATGGTCGTCTTGCCCTCGAGGAACGGGTCCGAGTCGGCGAGGTCTATCCGGAGCGGCCGCCCACCGAGCTCTTGCCCGTTCAGGTTCCGCACGGCAGACAGTGCGGTTTCATGGTCTAGTTGCGTCATCACGATATTGGGGTGATGGTTGATCAAGCATGAGGCGGAATGGCGTGGTATACATGTTCATCGCGTTGGTGGGAGTGGCAACGTCACAATGGAATTGTTGATCACATTCGTAAGATGGAATGCACGATTTAATTTCGAACAATGCGCATTGTTGGATAGATGGGGGCCGTTTGAGTTTTGCAGTCGGACAGCATCATGCAATCACAATTTGAAGCATCCGGCGAAGTGGCGCGAGTTGAATGGGGTGTAAAAATGCGCATATATAGCGGAGTCGCGTTGGCCAGTTGAGGGTCGAACAATGCGACGGCACACGATTGCAGCGGACATTTTGAATGCACGGTCAACGGACGGTATTGAGTTGCAGTAGAAAGCGATATGATTGTGTTTGGGTCAGACATCACAAGACTTGAGTAGCTCAGAGAATAGAAAGTTGCTATACCCGAAAATTCGCAGAAGCCGTATCCCTTCGGCTTCCCTGTATCTCTGTCAAAGACCAGTCTAGGCGGCGCACGTGGGTTTTGTGAGCGACTCATGGTTGTACTTCGATGGTGGCAGTCGAGACAGTACCTAAATCCAACAACTTGCCCAACCGACTTGAACACGTCAATCAATTGTTCCTATGTCTCACATCATTCAGCGTGCCTTGCAGATTGCGGTGCGAACTCGTTAATCACCTCGCCCATGTTGTAGGGCACATTGCCGACTAAAAGCGATGCGGTCAGACGATCTCACAGGCCCGACATGGGGCGGTGGAATGAGCCAACCAACCAAACACTACTTTGCTCATGCCGGCTGATGTTGTTGTTTTCAGAGTCGGACAGCAAATGCGAGCAGCCGTCGAGAAACACAAGGCCACAAGTTCGGTGAGGGAACGTCGCCGTCGCAGCTGTGTCAGAGGAAGCTGTACAGGAGAACTGGTCGGAAGAACAAAGGCTAAGCCTCCTTGAATTATCCTGAATTATCCAGATATCCATATATGGGCTATGCGAAACGTAAATGTTTGTTTTTTGCGGGGCCCCCTAGTTGCACGGCCACATTCTCGGTCTCAGCGCTCAGCTTCCGCCTGTGTCTTCGTCGCTGTTTTCGTCGCCGACGCTTCAGATGGCGGCCACACGTTCTCAAGGTGTTTGGAGACAACACCGCCATCGGATCGGCGCATGGCCACACCGCTGTTGACTGGAACTCGTCTGGTAGCTCCGCCGCGCTCCGTGTCTGTCCAATCGCGCAGTCGCCCCACTCCGCCACAACCCTTCCGCACTGCTTTTTTTTTTCCTCCCTGTGTCATCGCCTGAACTCTCCGAACCAGTCACTTGTGATTCTGTCTGCTGACATGTCTGCATTACTACATGATTCCATGCTCTCTCTGATCGAGTCACTTCGGACCTATATAAGCCTTCAAATTCGGGTCATCCACAGATCCGAGTCTTTGTGCCTTTCAAACTTTCCGCTCTCTCTTGATTCTCTCGTTCTTCTCCATCAACCTTCATGACCCGCATCGCAGCACTTCCTAGCAAGCAGAGGATGGAACCACGCCGGCTGATGACAACTGATGGAGTGGATCCCAATCGAGTTATAGACCGTATCTTGGCACGCAAATACCTTCAGGGAATAATGCGTTCGCTTAGGAAGCAAGAGGGCCCTAGTGGCGAGCGGGTTTATCAACCGAGGTATGTACATGTTGGTTTACACTCATAGCCATATGCCAGACCAACCATCCACAGAATGGATCTCTTCGACGATCCAAGTAGCCCTCGCATTGTGGCCACGCTCGAGCTGCCTGGCCTGAAGCAGAGCGACATGTCCGTCCGCGTCGAGGACAACCATCTCGTCGTCCAGGGCGAGCGGCGATTCCGAAGTCTCGCCCCGCTGCCCGTCCACACTTCTTCCGAGCCCTCTACCTCGCCTGCCGCCTCCGAGCCACCCAACTTGCCACGGGGATACACGATGCAGCAGATCAAATACGGACTATTCCGCAAGGTCATAGGGCTTCCCGCGGGCATCCAGGTGCGTCTGGCAAGTTCGCTGTCGTGTCCTTCACATGAGCTGATGAGTCATCCGCAGACGGGCCACATCAAGGCGTCGCTCGCCGAGGGCATGCTTACTATCTCGTGGCCACGCAATCCCAGTGCCGAACCATTGAGTGATGATGCGCCAGACACCGATGTGTCACACGATGTGTCCGCAGAGGGCGACCAGTGACGCTGGGCGCGTTACATCCGGTCGGCTCGCTTGCAGTGGCGGCCGTCGGGTGACGAGTCAATGTTGCAGTTGACATGATCTTGGACCTCGCTTCCGCTCGGCTCGAGTACACGGAACTTTGCAGTACATGGTGTTTCTTCTTCTACTCTACTTGTCTGTTACCCAATTAATACTCTACTCTTCCGATGCCGGGTATTAGTATTACGACCCTCACTCCATCTATATTAGGTTTCTCCATTCTTATCATCTTGTTCGCAGTCACCGCCGGTCTATATCAGATGTCTATTGCTATATATTGGTATATTGCGTGTAAGAATAGCGGACTGGCTGTTATATGATGTAGCATACACAATCTCTATATCCGTTATCCAGCTGCGCCACTTACGGCGAATGCTGTCCGAGGATGCTCCCGCACTCTGTGAGTCTCGTAGACGGCTCTCTAGATCAGGTCCGTCCACGATACGGTTCCGACAAAGACTGCCATCTCGGCTCCGAGTGGCTAACTCAGATTGACTTTCACTTTTCTCGGTTCTGGCAGAGGAGCTGATTCTGTATGATCAGCATCAACGCATATACTGACTCGAGTCTCTGCATAACAAACCCATAATGAGCACTCCCCAGCATCACCACAAGCTTAAACGACTCACCGGGACCGCGACGCCCTCGCGCCGCGCCATCCTGACGAGCTCACCCAGGATAACCTCGACTTCAGTCGGGCGGCCCACCTCGACGTCCACGAGCGTGCTCGGGCGGTGCGCGTAGTGGCCACCGCCGTACATATCTGAGGTGAACGCGAGTACGTCAGCAGCGAGGTTCGGATTGATCGCGGGCCCCGCATCCCTCTCCGGGAAGAGCGTCGTGCCCAGCGCGTGGATCTCCGTGATGCAGTCGTACAGCCAAGGCAGCGTGTTGGCGGCGATCACTGGGGAGGCGCTGCATAGTCCAGCAGTCTTGGATGCCGAGGCTGCGGCCAAGGAGTCATCGGTATTCGCTGTAGGTGTCTGTTTCTTCTCGGGGCTGTGGGAGGAATAAAAGATGGCAGTCGTTGGGAAGCGAGTGATGGCTGGGATGACCCCGAAGCATACGTTATACACATTTTTGTTGTACTTGACGCGCTGGATTTCGGGCTCGATCTCTACGTGCGCTCCACCTGCGATGAGGATGTCGGCAAAGGTTGACAACAGTGCGGCCTCCTCTGGGGTGTTATCCGTGTAGTTTGCCATCGTGCGGTACACACCGAGGACAGCTCGGTCCTATGGAGACATGAAGGTCACTACAGTTTCACAAGACTCGCTGCACCATAATGTACGCACAGACTGGTTGTGTTCGACGACGTTGCCGTCGCGCATGTTCGCCATGGTCCACAATGCCGTGCCGATGATCTTCGGCTCCTCCACCGGCCGCAGTTTTTTCAGCGTCTCGTACAAGTTGGCTTCCACATTTAACCCATTCTGCATGAGCACGAACGTGGGTATGGGAAACCTGTCTATGTATTCCGGGGTAAGGAGCGGCGCGACCAAGTCAGAGGTCTGGATGAGCTCGGGAACGGCTTTTGTTGTGACTATGACATGGGAGTATGGCTGGTCTGCCGCTTCGGCAACCGACGCGCACACTGGAGATGATGTAAATCACCGTTATGCTCGAGGTTCGATGGAATGATTATTGGAAGTCATACCTCGATCGGGCTTGAATGCATCAAAGTTGCCGAATTTGTCGCTTTTGATGTTGAGGCCATGAGCTTCGAGGAAGAGTGAGCATCCATACCTACATTAATTTCTCGTAGCTCAACAAACCCTTCACAGCTTCGCAATTGCTCCTTGCAATGGCAGTCACGCGAGCCCGTCCACCGTTCTGCATAACAAATGCATCTGCACAGACACGTTCAGGCACGCATCTCAGATATCTAAGGAAATGGACATACATACAGCACCCACAGCGCCGAGGCCGATGAGCAAAACATCTGTCTTCTCAGATGCCATTGCGCCGAGTGCTCGCACCATTCACTGCGTTGGCCTCGTAACCGAGGAAACTTGGTGGATGGTTAGCAGGGAAACGCGGGTTTTATATGCCGAGTGATGCGACGATTTGCGCGCAGGGGTATGACATCGCGGCCGGATCATGCTACGGCAAGAACTTATTGCGATCGCCTCGGGTAGGCTGGCGCCATAAAGTCTGCGCCGTGTGCCCCTCCATAACGGACACCTTTGCCATTGATAGGGGCTTATCGGTGGTATTCAAGCTAGTCTCACTCTCCATTCAGCTGATGGCCAGTTCTCGACGCTTTCTACACTCTACGTGGCGTCAATGCTCAGACATGAAGTTGCGGGTTTCGTGGCATCACTCGGCTACGGCGGCTTCCTTTCCAAAGTCCGGATATATGCGCTATGCTTGAGACCCGAGTAGTAAAGGAGGTCTACCACGTCAGAGTGGAAGGAGGAGATGAGCTGAATGATGGAGCATTGATGCATCGGGAAAACCTGAAATCATGTAAACGTGCCTATTTTTTTTTTTGCCTCGATCAAGCCGTCTGAATGCTGTAACCGGGTCGCCAGTTATGCAGTTAGGTATCTAAGCACAGAATGCATGACTGGTGATTAAGATGAAGGTACAAGTAGTGGTGTGCCCGCTCGCGTGAGACAAGCGTAGGCTCTAGATCAACTTGTTTGGTAAGACTTGGCAATAACGGATTAGGAACATAAAACATAGAGTTAATTTTCCATGGGAAAACCAATATAAAACTGCGGAGTCCTGCCCTGTGCACTGCAAAGAAAGCACCCTTTCTCTACATAAGAAAGGTGAGAGAAAGTGAGATATTTCTCATACCTTTATTCAAGTGCTTAGTGCTGTGTACAGTTTGACATTTCCTGAGTATGTAAAGGCACTGTAGAGCCTATCAACGGGGAGAGAAGGCATGAAATATGCCTTTTACAAAGCTTTCTTACAAATCCAACTACTTGATGAGAAAGGCTTAAATTATCAATTCAGATCTAATGCCTTTCTTGTGTCGGGAAAGGGTCATTTCTTTGCTGTGGCGAGGAAGACAATATACATTTGCTTGCCAGGTTTGTCCAAAACGGCTGAAATGCTAACTCTGACTGTGTCGCTCATCTACGAAGAAGTCCTACAGGTTTCTTCAAACATTTCTGGAATCCCGAGGACTTTATCTTTCTACACCCTTTTTCCCAGGGGGAAAATAATTATTTGCATGCTATCAATTGAGTCACGGCAACAGACGCTATGATATTCAGCCACATCCGAATCTCAACCACCGTCTTCGTTTCTTCTTGCCATCGCAAGGATTGCGTCAAGGGCTGACGCTCCTGGGGCAACTACTTACAGCACCTAGGTCCTAGATGCCTTGCTCAGCGTAGCGTATCGAAAAAAAACCCCAGTTTGAAGTTTTCCCCTGATGAGCGCGGATCGGATCCAAGCTTGATCAAGGATCGACCATCAATCAACACTGCAAAGAAGCGGTCCATTCGGAAGGTTATTAAAGCTCTCAACCCAAGGGTCGCTTCGATTCCTGCAGCCGCCGACTAAATGCGCCTGGCAGGCTGTAAACGGCAGGCAGTATATACATAGGTGAAACGTCAATGACAGGCTGCAGACGGCGAGATGTAACGTTTGTAGAGCACGCAATCAATATACATATGTTTCGTACGGCTGCCCGCCACGCAAAGACAATCGGCCTCATCTAGATCCAGCCCCTGCACTACCGAGACGCGTAGCGTGCCTTTTCCATTCATGACCTACTCCAGCCCTCCGTATCGGACATCCACGTTCGCGTCCAACCACGCCATCCACTTCTTGAGGAAGCGCCCTCCGTGTTGGATCGTGGACGAGTCACCAATGACGCACTGCAAGTGCTGGTGTCAGATTTTTGGACTGACCCGCCGAGATTTGAGACGTACCAGATGCCGCCGTGCACGTGTCATCGCGACTATGATGATGGTCAGTGAGAGCTCGGGAGCATCAGCAAATGAGAACGATGTACCATTTAGTCGCCGTTTGTCCTTTAGAAAGCCGACTTCGCGCTTGAAAAACGAAAAAAGTGAGATGCAAGGACGATGAAATACTGACGCGGACATGCCTTCTCATTGCTGCGAACCAAGCTGATGATGACCGCCTCCTTCTCTCGCCCCTGCATCCCATCTACAGTGCCGATCTCGAGGTCGAGACCATAGATGGGTCTCAGGATGGATGAGAGAAGTGCAACCTGTGCTTGATAACTGATTGTACACGCAGTGAGTCAACATCAGGGACTCAGCAACAGTAATATAATCGCTTACGGTGTGATGATTGCGACCTCCGAAGGCAGTACACCCGCGCCGACCTGCCCGCAATCATGCGTTAGTAAACTATAAAACAAAAGCGTTGCAATCCTACCGACCAATTGATCGATGTAATGTTTCACCACAGCCGCCTCATTCTCGTTACACCGACTCCCCTCATCCCCGTCTCCCTCTACCCTCTCAAAGTATTCGCACCCCGCTGTGTCGTAGAACGCCACCGGCGTCCCAAGCAATTCCTTCTCCTCCTCCTCGTTCTCCGCCTTCACATGTTGTAGATCGCACAGCAGGTGCGCCGCGACGGAGTCGTGCGACACCAGCTTGCCGTGGTACATCACCTTCGATGGGAACGCCGCGATATGCGCATGCATCCTGCAGTGGTTGGATCAATAGTGACCAATAGGAAAGGGCGGGAAGAGACCGACCGATACTGCACGGTAAGCATGCGTTTGATGTCCGGACCGTACATCTTCTCCAGGCGCTCGAAAAGGGTTGTCTTCAGCGAGCGAGGAGGCCGAAGCCCCTGCGGCTTGGACTTCGCCGGTTTCTTCTTCTCTAAGCCAGACGAGGCTGCCGATTGTTCTGGCTGCTTTGCGTCTTCCGCATCATCTTTTTCTGAGGAGGAGGTGTCATCCTCGCTACTGTCTGACGGCTCTCCTGACGATGGGGATGATGGTGGCTTCTGCTCCTCCGGGGTCGGGGGTTCTGCCGATTTCTGCTTCGCCGTGGTAGACTGAGCCAACTTTCCTTTCTTGCTAGGTCCCTGCGTGCTGACAGGAGACTTCTTAGACGAAGCCACTTTCTTTTTCTCCTTCCTGCTCTTGTCGAGCGACAGGACAGTCGGCGGCAGCTGCATCGGGTCGCCGGCGAGAATCAACTTCTTCGCTTTGAAGATTGGGATCCAGCATACCTGCGACAAGCAAATCAAGCAATCAGTCTTGCGACACAGAAAGGTGGCATGGACTATACCGCTTCGAGAGCCTGAGTCGCCTCGTCGATAATGACGACATCAAAATGATGCTTTTGGAGCTGTCGGTTGCCTGCAGAATGGCACGTTGCGAGAACGACCTGCGAATAACATGTACTTAGCTTGACCACCATATGATACGTCGAATTCTGACTTGTGATTCGCTCAGCACGCTTTCTACCACACCTCCCTCACGCTGACGATATCTAGTATTTCACCATCAGCTCAGGGTCGAATGTGCTGTGAAATAGGACTGATGGTGCCTACTCTTTTCGCAGAGCCCTCACTTCCTCCCACATTTTCTTCCGCTCCGCCCCTCTAGGAGCCTTCCCCTTTGAGCCCTTCCCCTTCCCCGAAAGCACATCCAACGCCGCTTCCAACTCGCTTTTCACATCCTTCGCCAGTGCCGCCTTCGTACCATCAGTACCCTCCCAACTCGCACAGAACCGACGCCGCCCACCTGATCGCTCCGATTGGCCTTCACCTCCAACGTCGCATCTAGCACGCTCTCGCGCGCCATCACGCGCGCTGGATGGCCTACTCGCGTTACTTTGAGCTTTGCGCCATTCGAAGGGGCGGGTAGAGCAAGCAGACGTTCAAGGATGTTGTCCACGGAAAGGTTGGACGCGCCACAGATGAGGAGACGGAGCGCTTTTGGGTTGGATGAGGTGACCGTGGTTAGCTGGCGGATTACTTCGATGAGTGTATGCGTCTTTCCCGTTCCTAAAATGCTGTGAGATATGACGGTGCTTTTGCAAGAGGTGATGTTGGCTTACCTGGAGGACCGTGGATGCATGCCACTTCTGGGGACTCGAGTGCAAAGCGAACTGCATCACGCTGACTTTGGTTTAGGGAATGATCGAAGAATGATAGGTCCTTGACGGGGATGCGCTCGGAAGGGGCAGTCATTCCCATGAGTACGCGAATCAAGGCATTAAGCTGAGGAGTAAACTTGTCCGCTGACTGCAGGAGAATGAGATGTGATAGATCGAAGGTACATTTGCAACCTACAGAATCATTTGAGTCAGGCAGGACTACTTTCTCTAATTGGTCAAGAGCCTTGTCCATCCTACACGCTCCTCTCAATGCGCGAATACGTTATTGGACGGAAGTAACATACCTATCAAACGTTACGCTATTGGCAAGCTTTACTATCCGACAGCGCTCAGGCAAGTCGAGTTCATCTACGCTAGATTCGGAGGCATCGATCGCAATGACGATGCGGGTATTGGAAACCTGTGTGTTTCTGTGATGCTATCCAGCAGCATATAGCAGAGGCCTGTTTAGCTCTACCTTGTATACAACTCCTTCTGACTGCCGGCGATCTGCGAAATTAGGGTTGTCGCCTTTCTTGCCTTTGGAAGCGGCAGATTTCTTTCGGGTGCCACCTTCAGTTACATTCTCCTCGATACGGGCCAGATCACCTGGTCTACAAGCACGTCGGATACAAGCACTTCTAAAGACTTGATCAGGTCACGTACCGGAACGTATGCGGAGGAAAGATCGGCGTTGAGTGATAAGCCGCAGGACGCTCAAGCTCTACCAAGCTGCGTAAAACCGCCTACGATGTAGTCAGTTCCTGGTGTATATAATACTGAATCATTCGCGCACGTCTTCCCTCCAAGCCCGATGTTGACATTGGCTACGCCAAGGCCTCCCAGCGCAAGACCTTTCTGCTCGAGCAACTTCGGCCCACAGTTAGATAAGAGAAGAGAGGATCTCTCTATCTCGGCATTGCGTTCCTTGCTCAAGAGCAGGCGTTGGCGAGCGACGAAGGCGCGCAGTTGCTCATCGGTGGACATTGTGTGGTAAGTGTGCAGTGCTATAGTGAGCTAGTCTCTGCCAGAGGAGGAAAGTAGCAATCTCAGACCCAATGTCTTGCCTAATATGGTAAATTCCACGTGCGGTGGCCCCGGGCAATTAACGGTATCATAATGAACGCGGAGCTGTCAGACACGAACATGGCATCTCGAGTGGGTCAACAAACTTTGTACGTGCGCACAACTCCGCACTCCCTGCTCGTTACTAGGACAATCGCGCATAGGACAGCATGACCTTCGGTACGCATGTCCGTGACGCTGATGCTCCCGCTGTCCCGCTCATATCAGCTTAGAGCTCCCTGCACTACATATACTAGTATCAATCGGTGGCTTCTCTTGCAAGGTGATTGCTTTGACGTAGATTTGACATGTAAGCACGTCCAGCCATAGCCTATCTTCCAACGGCGGAAAACACACCGCGACCTTCGAAGAGTCAATGGCGATCGTTGCAGCGCACAAAGCGCGATTGGCTACCGCGAAGGCCCTAGCAGGGACGGATGCGGGATTCCGTGCGCAGGTGAACTGGTGAAATATTCAAGGGTGAGACACTTTTATTGATGGGCCGGGCCTAAGCCAGCGGCACGTTCGAGGCTGATTGCCGTCTGGTTGAAGGGCATGTCTGACCAGGCACAACAGAAACGGTGCAGGATTTGCAGGTAGAAATTGATAACAGTCGACACATACACATTTCAATGCTTCCAACACCCACCTATCATACAAATCGAAAATCGTAAGCAAGAATCATAATCCAACCTGCACTACCATCATACATGTTAACATCCTTCACTCTCCCTGCGTCAAGTCGATCCGTTCCACCGAACCACCCCGAGCGGAGACTCGCCGCTTTTTGTTTTGCGTGCTCTGCTCGCCCCCGGCACCATGCCGACTCGCCCTCTTTTTTCGCTCCAACTCGAGCCTCAGCCTGAGCGCCTTCAGGCGTACTTCCTCCCGCCGCGATTCTGCTGCTGCTTGGCGCAGATCAGCGTCTGCCTGACGACTCTCGGCATCTACTATCACTAAGCGCCTCTGCGCAGGATGCACATAAATCGGTGAGTCGTATTATATCACTCGAAGTAGCGTCCTCACCTCCAGGTCAGATGTGCTGTCATCCGAGTCAGACTCGGAGTCAGGCGGCTCCTGTTCATTGACTCCCCGCCGAGAATATTCCGACTTGACAGCAGAGACTGAGGAGCCCCCTGCTGGCCTGAGATTCACGACATGCATAGACTGAAATGGGTGAGCGCTCGAAGGCCCTGGAGAAGGCACGTGGAGCGCGGTGCGGAGGATTCTTTCCGATCGACGAAGGAGGATAGTGGGCACGGACTGCTGCACTGGAGCGTTGGACTTGGAGCCTTTTGCCTTTTGGCTCGTGGACGTCCGATGCGAGGACCCAGCCAGTTTATGTGCACGGGATTCTGCCGCTTTCTGGATTGACTGCGACTGGGTGCGAGCAGGGATCAAGCCCATTTTGACCAGTTCCGCTGTGCAGTGTGTATCAGACAGGAAGTCGCTGGATAAATGCCTGGCGTACGTACCGCGAGGCTTGTATATGAAGCAAAAGACAACGTACGGGTGCTTGTCATCATCGATGGGCACCCATTCTTTTGGCGGAGGGAGCCATTGGTGGTCCGCTGGCATCTCGACGATGCTCCCGAGACTGCGGCCATCAGTCACTAAGAGTGCTGTACAGGACGACGCGACACACCTGGCTTCAATCGCGCTTGTATTGCTCACATGAGGTATGTGAGAATGATATCGAGTTACTTTCACGCGATAGACGCTGAATTCCAATCTACCGATGGAGTCGTTAAGCTTATCTGGCGCGCCGTCATCGGAATATGAGGACTTTCCATTGCGTGATGAGAGGATCTGACACCCTACCGGGGGTTGTGACATTGCGGAAGCGATACGCGCGCATCGTCTCTGCCGACGTGCATGGGCCCGCGTCGTATCCATCTTTGCCGGCCGCACAGTGGACCACTTCCTCGCTCTTGCAGCCATCGAAAGTGGCCTGTATAATGATGTCTTGATTGGACCTATTCTGGTACTCATAGCAGAATTCCTGTCGAACGAATGAGCAACCGGCTTCACAAGGTTAGTATCAACCTTGGATGTGCGCACCACACCCTCATCTCCGGGAATATGAACCATCACAATGTCCCCACAGTACAATGGCGCCCCGCATTCTTCCGCATCTTGAAAGTCGGCTACAATCCCGATCCGTATGTCCTTGTGCGTCGGCATGCCCAAACTGTTCCTGGGCTAGAAAAACAGTTCTGTGCACAGCTGATGCCGCCGCAACTAGAAACGGGAACGTGCCGTGTATAGAAAGAACTGACAATGGTTAGAGGGAGCAGAAGGCGGGATGACAATGCCTCAAGCTCCGCCTTGCACTCAAGGTTCGTAGTCCGACTTTGACTCTGCACGCATGTTCTCTGTTCGAGAATTCCATTGATCCTTCTTGAATATAAAGATCATTGTCACATCTCAAAGTTGAGAGATATGTACATATCCAGAGACATCATGACTAGCTAATACTTTATTCACGTGTTGGAAAAAAGATGCTGCCTAATGCTTTCTCTTGTGAGCGGAGGCACCAATTCACATTCTACCTATGCCCTGCTTCCTTGAAGTCTTTCCAGAGTATCCTTTAGATTGTTCATTATGGCCTGTAGGCATTCTGCCTGTGCAGTAGCAAGCCGCAACTATTAGAGCAAAGTTATAAATACTACTGTGTAGACAGAGACAAACGCAGACACGATACCAGGCGTCCGGTTTCGGAGCCGGATTCTGAGACAGAATGATGTTGCAGTCTGGGCTGGGTGGCTTCAAACTGTACATGTGTTGTCGAAGACGACGTTCGGGACCGGCTCGACACTGTTCCCTTGCGATTATGGCTCATACGATCATCATCCGCGTCTGAATCCGAGGGATGGTATTCCGAGCCGAGAAATGCCAACGACGACCCGGACGAAGACAAATCATCAGTGAGAAACGGGCGTTGGCTGAGATTTGCGCGATGTGGGGAACGCTGCGGCTGTTTGCCTCGTCTCACACGGCGGGCGGGCTGAGGAGAGAGAGATCTCAACGATTGCACTGCAGCCGATTCGTGGGCATTATAGTACATCAAGAGAGAAGATCTAAGCTGGGCTGTAAAAGACCGCATTCTGTCAGTTGCGAAAGGATAGTGCAGTAGGTGTACGTGTACCTCGTGGTTTGTACTGAAATCGGAAGATAACGTACGGATCTTCGTCTGTGTCAATATTCTCCCAATGTTCTGGCGGAGGAAGCCACGGATGGTCCTCATCCATATCGATCGTTCCGCCCAAACTGCATACTGTCAGTCGGCGGTACGCGTCACGAGGGAAGAGTAGTACACAAACCTGGCCTCGATCTGCCGCGTTCTGTCCTCGAGCGGGATGTCCTCGTGGAAAGAATTCACCTTGACACGGATGATTCTGAACTCGAGCACGCCGAGCGCACCCAAGCTGCTGCTGAGCCCATCGTCGGAGTCGACATCACCTACATGTCCAACTAACTGAATAGATGCTGAAGAGGAGACCGGTCTCGCACGTACTGGATGTTGATACTCTGCGAAATCTAAAGGCTCGCACGGTCGTCGCAGAGGTGCCGGGACCAACATCATGTCCTTGGGCTCCAGCTGCGCAGTGAACGACCTCCCCGGTCTTGTGGCCGTCGAACATGGGATCGATGAGTATGTCTGTCTCAGAGTTATTCACATATTCGTATGCGAATTCCTGCGATAGAATGTATGTGAGATACTTCTCCGAATGCGCTAGCAACTTACGACGCCTTCATCTCCGGGGATGATAGAAGTGATTGTCTTGCTATTGAGGACCTCGATACCGACCTCCGGGAGCTCTTCTCCGTCCACGATCAGGCTCAAGGAGATGCCTTTGTGAGTGGGCATGTCTGGCAGCGATCACACATACCACACACTCATGGAAGAATGAAAGAGATGCGAGACATTAAATCTCGAGTACCCTTTGGCCACTGTTCGGCGAGGGTTGGTTCGACATCGCATGTCAAGGAAGCAATGCGTTGATCGGCGAGTTCGCGGAGGTCGAAATACATCCTTCCACGGCCCGCCGAATTTCATCGACATCACGGATGTCTTAAGGATGTCTCATGAACCCACATGCTTGTTAAGAGTTTCTGATGGACTTTGACTCACGTTGAGCGCTTGAGCGCAAGCGTTCGGAAGCGATGTGTTGGGCGCCAATCAACATATAGCTCGGAGACTTTCCATATTTGTGTAACTTCCGCCATTCCTTCCGCGCTCATCCCGTTCACAACGGAACAATTCCCTCATTTCGCGAATCGCGAGTGTATCCACACGTTATTGTACTTTGGAATCATGTCTGATCTTTTAATCTGCCTGAGTCGAGATAGGTTGCGGCGGTCATATCGATTGTCTGACCTGCCCCTTCAACGACTGGATGCTACCGGTTTCCGTCGACCGGACGCGGTGAATCCCAAAGTCGTACAGAGCCTCGCAGAATCGGCAACCAGCAGCTAGATTTGGAGGATCCCGAGCATCGAATTCCTCGCGTAACAGGCGGGAGGTCAGATATAATCACACCTTCACCTCGTGGCATCAATCGCCTGCAACGTGCCCTCCGCGTTTCCTCAGCGCCGGTTTCCACTCCCCCGTAATGCGGGCCTGCTCCTCGTGCATCTAACGTCAGGTTCGGCCTGGAAATGGCAGTGCAGTTCACCGTCCGCAGGCACCGGCGCACTTGCCCTCTGCCGGCTCATATCAGCGTTGCAATTCTCCCCGAGCTCGTTAACTTTCGTTGCTGACCACTATCATTCACGGACTGCGTCCGATAACATACCTTCCTCCACCCCAGCTTCTCTCGGTCGGAGTAATAGCATGGCTCGCACGAGTACGTCTAGCCAACAACACACCATAAACGGCCTGCACTCGCCCTCGACCCGCCCACGTCCGCGCACGTACTCTCGTGCCCGTCCTTCCTCCTACAGGCAAAGCCTGCATACTGTCGCGCCTACGGCAAAGCTGCACATCCATTGGCTCTTCCGCTCTAACATTCCTCGCCGCCGCGGCATGCCGATGCCCACTGACCCGAACAAACGCAATTTCTTTGGCATCGGAGAGATCCTCGGAGTACTTGCCAACGTACGTGGCAGGACACTCCCTCCATCTGTCCTGCGCTGACTATGCTGCATCCGCTCGCTCAGCCCTCGCAAACCCTTCGCAGCCTGACCGAATCAAGAAGAATGCTCGAAGAGACAAGACAGGAACTTGCTGAGGCTCGCGAACGTGCACAACTCAGCCCTACTCACACGTTCTCAAGCTTGCCTGGCTTCTTCGACAGACCAGCGGAGCTCAAGGCCATCGAACGGGCCCTCCAGGGAGAGCCCAGCTTCACCGTCCTCTTCGGTGCCAGCAGCGTCGGAAAGGTATCTACTGCTCAGTTTGTAGGCCCCGTCGAGGCATCCGCTAATGTTCTTTGTTCCGCTTCACAGACTGCACTGTTGCGCCAAGTCCTCACGCGCCCGACGTATCATGTTCTACACTTCGACCTCCGCATAGCAGGCTTCGCCGACCTCGCCAGCCTCTACATGAGTCTCAGGTAGCTGAGTGCCAGCTGATGCCCTGGGTATGCGCTAACATGCCTACGACGACCAGCCAACAAATGGAAGCATTCTTCACGTCCATCGCGGAAGACCCGGAGATGCCGGGGTACGAAGTGTTTGAGAAGGAGGCTTGGGCATTCAAGGTGAGCCCCTCCTCATTGTTTCGAAGCCCCCTGCCATACTGCATTATGCCCTGAAATTGGGTCCGGTGACACACCTGCCAGCTGCCTGGCGGCCAAGGGCGCGGTCCACGTGCGGCAAATCACACACGACGATCGCCTGATTGTGTTGTTCCGAGGTTTTTCAGCGCCGGTGTTGATTGCCTTTCTAGCACGACAGGCTCAACGTGGAGCGGCGCGTGGCAAGTTCGACGCAGCTCGGCGAGACGCTCGCGCATACTACAATGGGCGAGATCAAGACCAGCGACGTCGCGAGGTTGATGGAGTTGTTCCAAGTGAGACCATTCGCCTCTTGCATACTGATTAGTAACACTACTGACTTCCTGCTGGCAACTAAGAGCTCGTTGCTGCGTTACTGGAACTTTCAGCCCAACATGTCTGAGGTGTCATCCATCTCGCGGCGCAAATCGGTCAGCCATACCGAAAGTATGACAGAGCTTGCTTCACAGCAGTCCAAGGCTTCTCGCGCGTCATGGCGAATGCGCCTGTTCGGGAGCATGAGCCGGCGTAAGCGTGCGGAGAAGGCTCGCAGGGACAGCATAAGCGCAGATGCGATGGCGGAGGAGAAGGGCAAGGCCAAGGACCATGCGCCGCCGATGAAGAAAATTCCCGTGTTCTTCATGGACGAGGCACATAAGCTGTAGGCGCTTCTTTCATAGTTATGGTGACAATGCCCGGAGGCTGATTATATTGCGTACTTCTGTTCAGTCCGGCGTTGATCCGCTCGGTTGACGCTATGAAGGCACTTTTGGATGCCATGCTTGTGTTGACGAAGCAGGACCGGCTCTGCCACGTGATACATGCCACAAGCGATCCCTTTTACCAGACCTGGCTTCGCCAGCTGAATGTGATGCAGCATTGTAAGGTACGTATTGCATCTGATGTGACAGTCGCCTTTGCAGCTACTAACGGTTTCACGTTCCGATGGGAAGATTATCACAGTCGGTGATTATCCGAAGGCGGACACAAGGAAGTACTTCCGAGAGAGGATCCTGCCGCTTGTTCCGGAACATCTGCGTCACGGTCTCGATTTTGAGCGGCTGTATGAAGCGTTTGGTGGCAAGCTGGCGCATTGGCAGGACTTTGTCACCGATTATGGTAAGTCCTACGCCTAGCGGCATGCTTGTGCATCACTGACGGCACCGGGCGTGAAGTCAATGCAAATGGGCGATTGGAGAGTACGTCGCGCAATTCCATGATTCAGTCATCACCAGAAGCGCTCAACGAATACGTAGTCAAGCAAAGCTCGCACTTTTTGCAAGCCCACGCGCTGCTCAACCTGCACATCATCCACTCCTCGCAGGACCCCCCTGCACCCCCTGCGAATACCGCGGAAGCTGCAACTGAGTCCGCCCCATCCCCCCAAAGCACCCGCGATGCATCGCAACATGCGATCCATCGGCTTTCCCCACCGCCGGGCTCGAATAACGGATTCCGCATCTACTCCCCCCTCACCGCCAACCCCCATGCGGCGCCGGCTCCCCCCGGTGACACCGCGCACAACGCACCCGAGTTCCGCGCGGACTTCACCGCAATTCAGCTACTCAAGGTGATGAATCGGCTCGCGCAGCCGAATGCACGGTCGATCCCGTACTTCATCCTGTGTCGCGAGATGGGCGCGCGCGCCGTCGACGGGATGGTCAAGGGTCGGATTCTCGACCTGCGCTGGACAGACCCAATTTCGAAGGAGGGCGTTGACACGCGCGTCACGAGCATGCGTTTCCGCGAGAGCCGTTTCCGCGATAGCACGCGCTTGCGTGAGAGCGTACGCCTGCAGGAGGGGAGCAGCGCGACGGCAGTGAATGACTACGACGTGGAGGACGGGGAGATGGTGCCGATGACCGACGAGGAGATTTACGGCGCGCATGATCAGATGATGGATGCGCAGCCACCGGAGGAGGAGGAGGAAGTCGTGGGCCCGAAGCTCGTCCCAATCACGCCAATTATGCGTTATGCGATGCGTGAGGTCGTGCAGGAGTATTATGATGATGATGGGGATTCTGTGTCCGAATATGCATCGCTTTCCGAGGTGGAAGAGTACTGAAGTGTGTCTTCTTTTTTAAGCTGTTATGCCTGGCTAGGTTATCGGGCGCTGGGCCGCCTTTTCACTGCCAATTGTTCTGATACCCTATGTGCCTATGCCCAGTGTAGTCTGGCATATTCTTTCCCTTCTCTCCCGCTATAGCTAGTATGGTATTGTACTTTCATGCAGAATACTGGACTGTGTACAATAGCCATGATGTATGATTAGGCATAGAATGATCACCTTAATCTGGAGACTTCAATATTGAAGTCCCTGCTCTCGACAAACTAAATTTGCATAGCTGCGTGCTGTCTATAAAAACGCTTTCTACCACAAATCATCGCGCACTTAGCTAAGGGCCTGTTCGGCCACTAACTGACGCGCGTCCGCCTTGCTCGATGGTGTCTGCGTAGGCGGCACGATAAATAGTGGGACGGTGTTACGATAGAAGGGGAGTTTAATTACGTCGATCGAGGTATGGTACATCATGGAAATGTCTTGATCAGGGAGAACCTTTCAAGAAAAAGACAGAACGACAACAACAACGACAACGAGCGAAAGCGCGACCACAGCATGAACCCACAATACCATGATATTGATAACAAAACAGAACCCACAGACAGACAAGTCAAACATCTCGCACCGTCGACCGCAACCAGTCGCGGCACAGATGTGCGTCCTCCTAGTAACGTCAGTCTCAAAGTAGCTCCAATTATGTAAAGGCGTACCACAGGATGCTCTAGCAATTCCAGGATGTCAAGTGCCGCACGTGATGCGGCGGACGTTGCCTTCTCCAAAAAGGCGGCGCGACGACCGCTCGCCTCTCTACGCGGCATCGCAAGAGAAGCATCAAGGCAATACTTATGTACGAGCGATTCGATTATTCCGTCGATCATTGCTGAGGCGGTTAGGAGGGACATGGAAAAACGCAGAACGTCCGGCTCTGTGAAATGCAGGCGGGTGTATGCGGTGATCAGGAATAGAAGACTGCACCAGAATAACAATAATGACACCACTCACGCATCATGGCTTCGAGTAGAATGGCCCACGTCTCCTCCTGTGCAATCTTCCAACCATTGTCAAAACCGAGGGCCTGACGCAAACTGGGCAGAGCTTCCCAGAGCTCCTGCATGTACATCCCCGGCGTCACGCTGCCGACCGAGTAAGAGAGGGCATACAGAACGTCACGATGAGCTGCCTATGGTGGACAAATTAGTTAACTCAATGCGCCGTACAAGCAAACGCAGGGACATAGATGGAAATGTACTTACTTCGAAATCATCATATGAAATGGAATGAGGTGCGATCGCCATGAACTCGTGTGCCGGTATTGAGTACAATGGAAGGAAGACGTCGCGATGGAACTATCAAAGAATGAGCATTGGCTTTGAGCAGCAGGCATTGCGCACCTTCACGCTCAATGCCAAACACGCGACGGCGACGTCCCAAATGATGGCCTCGCTGCCCTCGCCGGCGAGCACCGCCTCCTTCCCGTCGGAAGCCGAGGCCAAGGCAGTGCCTAGACGATAGAAAACCCGAGTGAACAAATGAGCAGCATGCCACCGCGTTTCGTCCGACGATTGAAGCTGTTCGCGCAGATCTGCACGAATAGCACGGGAAGGAGGTTCTGCAGGCAATACCTGCAGAAATAACGTTAGGAACGGTCGTCACTCAGAAAAAACGGCGCGTACATCCAGAATCCAGTCGATGACATCAACGCGAAGGTCCTCCTGTAACCCCAGATTTTTGACTGGGCCGAATTTGCTGACCAGCGTTGCGTCTTTCTCCTTCCCATCCAACTGCATGGCTGCAGATTTCTGAGAAGAAGGCGATTGTGTGCTTTCAAGTCTGCCTCTGCTTCCCTGCGATTTGTCAATAGCCGTCACTCGGTCGCCCGTACCCTTCAATGCGCACAAACTTTCGCTCGACCTCGCCACATCCCCCATGGCAGCAAGCCCATCCGCCATGCGCTCGGCTCTCTCCTTCTCGAGCATTATTCTGATCCTGCGTTCAGCAGCATCTTCGACCGAGAGCGGAGCCCGCGGAATCAGCTCCAGCGCCGGCGGGGCGATGATCGGGAGTGGCAACGGGAATGGCGAGCGCGGGGGAGTAGGCTTTGCACGAGATAACCCTCTCCGGCGATGACGATGGAATACGGGAGTGGCTGGTTCCGTAGGCACGTATCCTCCGTAGGATGATGCGGTGTTAGGACTGGGGGTGCTGCCGTCGACTGAGATGGAGCCTCGAGATGGGATGTCGGGGACGACAGATAAGGGAGAAACTACGCTGGTTGAACGAGAGCTCTCGATCTGATGTGCGGCGTATGCGGGGGTAAGTATCCTAAGATGAAAAGTCATATGGACATTCTGACCTCATGCTGTGCGCTTCTTTCGTACAAAGCCTCGGATCTCAGCGAGTCTGCACGCCGCAGACTGGCAGCTCGTTGCGCATATATGCGCTTTGGTTGCATGCTTGAGCCGTGTCTCGTCTTTGCCAGATCCGTTGCAGCTTCCTGGTCGCTGGCTGGTGCATTCCTGGAGAAGAACCGTGACCCGACCGTGTGAACCTTGCGCTTCTTGTTCTTTGGCTCGGATCCGGGAGTGCCTGTCGTTCGGGCTTGTAAGTCGCGACCAGAAGCGGAGGTAGCAGATGTGCTAGGGAGTTCGTAATGACGCAGAATTGACCGTCGACGCTTCGTTGGGTTAGAAGATCCCTCACACAATGGCTGACGTTCCACCGAGTCTTCGTGGCGGGTATATGCAGGAGACTCATGTTCATTTCCTGATGGTGTAATGTTCATTTCACAGCACATGTCTTGTGGTGGGGATTGGAAGTAAGTCCAATAGTCAGGAGATTGAGAATGGGCATCTTGGACATCAGCAACAGAGTTGATGGGAAGAGTAGAGCCAGCAGAACCAGACAAAACCTCAGAAGCGGCAGTCTTCTCGTCAGAGCTGAAAGTAACAGAAGCGACAGAGTCACCTAAAGTACGAAGGACATAGCGAGGCGCAGATAGTATGCCAGAGAGCCCGCGAGATACATTAGCAGACGCGGTATCTTGCATGTGAGACAGACCAGAACCTCCTGGATTGCCATCGACCTGAGGTGGCGTGCAGTCGTGGCGGATACTAGCCGAGGGTAATGCTTTGTCTTCCGTTGCCTGTTGTTCATGCTGGACAACAAGAAGCAACTCATGGAGTTTGATGACAAAGGAGTCTGGGGAACTCGAAGATGACGAGACAGATGAACATAGCTCATCAGTTGCGGCAAGCTGAGGCTCCTGCGTTGCATTTCCAATGGCTTCAAGTTTCAAAGCTGACAGCGTCCGACCATTTCCAGCATTATAATCAGTGAGTATATGCGTCTCTTTTTGACCAAATGACTCGTCTGGAGCAATCTTGGTTACGCATATAGCCGACAGGAATGGCGAACTGGCCACCTTTACTTCGTCTTCATCAGCATAGTCTGGAGGAGTTACCGCAGCAGGTGAGGAAGCAATAGGAGAGCTAGATGCAGGACCTTGTTCTTGCACTTCAGGCATTTCAAGTTCGTCATCCTCGCAGTGACCAAGGTTGAGCGGTACACGCATAGGGCTCGAATGTGCAAAACAAGAGCTCGGAGAACCAGGAGAATGCAGCGCAGGCTTGATAGGAATCATGCTTGGAGCCCGTTCTTGAAAGTCCGCTGAACAAATGTCGTCGTATCGATTCAGGATTACAGTTAATGCAAATGAGAACAAACGGCTCCAAAAGCGATAGAGATGACTTTGTGCAGTATAGCAAGGGTTGCTCACAAACAGACAGCACGAACCAGTAGGACAGACGCGACAGAGAATAAGATCGCAGACGATGGTGAGTGAAAGTAAAAGGAAGAGCAGTCGTTCAGTAAGGCAGGCCACGTGCTTGACACGATCATGTGACCGTGTCGATTCTGCGCGCCGGGCTTCCGGATAAACTTCTAGGGCACGTCCTTGCGGTGTCCAACGAGCAGACTTTCTATCGATGTATGACGCGTGGTACGCTCGTGCCATACGCACAGAGACCATGAGTCACGAAAGGCAAGAGTTTGTCCCGATATTGAGCCTACAGAATATTCCTTGCTTCTCAGGAATGCGTCAAGCAATCTTGTATATACGAAAAAAAAGTGTGCAAGCCAACGGCTTGGACGAGAATACCGCGCTTCTTATATATCAATCAGCTGCTCCAGAACTTCGGAAATGTACTTACCAATGCATAGACGGACCGAGGAACTCCGCAGTCGCTGCGGTGCCGCAGGTGGCACACAGCACGCATGTCCACACGAGGATCTGTACGTAGCACTAGATATCGATCGACTGTCATCGATAGCTGTACATGGTCTGCTACGGGGACTAGACCTGTAACTTGTAGAGAGAACTGTGACTCCTGGCGATGCTAATTCGAGCGCTAGCGATGATCATGGCATGAGTGCGAAGCTGGGCCGGCGGGGCCGCAAGCAAGGCAGTGACTCAAATAAAGTGATCCGAGGTTTCTGTTGACAGGCCTTCTCATGACTCAGAAGGCGGATCTCCACTCTATTCCAATCTCGTAGAAGACCGCAGAAGGCGAACCTGAGAAGACGTACAGATGTGGCGTTTGTCCTGCAGAGTTGCTCCTAGTTGCTCTCGCGCCCGTACTCCGAGGTAAACGGCATTGCCCTTCCACAGCGTTAATTTTGAGGTCCTCCCAGATGGCTACGAACATTCAATAAAAAGATGCAGACGAGGTGTTCAACACTGGCAAAGAGTCTGGACGAAGGGTTTAGGAAAGAGTGGTCTCTTTAGGTTGTCGGGCCGGTTGATGAGCATGAGTCGTAATTATAGCCTCAGCTCAGTCTGGCATCCGCCGCTCCTTCGGTTCGCTTTCGACTGCGCCATTCATGCACCACGGCAGCATGTGCAACTATGCCATCTGTAGGCATGAATGTCTCAGACGACTTTGAGCGAGGAGAGAGTCAATTACCACTGGCGTGCCATGCGTTCGGAATGACACGACTATACTTGAAATTGACTGCAGTCATCCGTGTCGATTATTCACTCGGCATCGCTGTAGGACTGTACATCGTCGTGGCAGCTCACAGGTAATTTCGCAGCAAATATTTGCTGCGGATAACTGTGGCGCAGCGGAGTCTTATTCGCAATAATTTCTGTCGGCGTTTCGATCAGGGCAGTGCCCATCAAACTATGGGCCACAATGGTTGTCCGCCTTATATACTCACGGGCCCAGTCGTGTCCTCCACGTTGCACCTTGCTTCAGTACACCTCACTCCCACTCAGCCAGCAAGCACAACATGAACAGAGGCGGCGACCGAGGACGTGGTGGCGACCGTGGTCGAGGCAGGGGTGGCCGAGGCGGTCCCGGGGGCGGCCCTCCAGGCGATGGCTTTCGAGGACGCGGGGGACCTCCCGGTGACAGAGGCGGTCGTGGAGGAGGCTATGGAGAACGCGGAGGGTTTCGAGGCGGTGATCGTGGTGGGTTCCGTGGAGGCGATCGCGGAGGATTCAGAGGGGGTGACCGGGGTGGCTTTCGTGGAGGCGATCGTGGTCGCGGCAGAGGCGGGTTTGGAGGGCCACCGAGAGAACCGGGCGGGTGTGTAGACGCTATGATGGTCTATGATGTCCTCACTTATCGTTCTTTGTCTTAGTGTCTTCATGCCCGACGTGCCAGCGACGATCGACGCGCGTCTGACCGACAACTCTCAGGACGCAGTTCTCGCCGCCTCAAAATCGTTGAAACTTCGCGATGACGATCTTCCAGTACGCCCCGACTTCGGCACCGTGGGAACGCCTATCAAGCTGCGCACAAACTTCTTCCCTGTGCGGGTGCCCAAAGGGCCCTTGTATGAATATGACGTACAGATCAACCCTGCTGTGGCGATCAAGCGGGTGAAGCGACGGATCTTCCAACTGGCGGAACAGACGCAAGACTGGGCACAGGCCAACATGCGGGACCGGGTGGCACATGACTTCAGCAGCAAGCTGATTGCTGCATTCGAGCTCCCGCAGCCGCTCGTGATCAGGGTGAATTACACTGACGAAGATGAAGATGTCACCAGAAAGTCGACAAAGGAATTTACATTGACAATCAACTTCGTGCAACCCATCGAAACTCAGAGCCTTGTCCAGTACGTATCTTGTTACTCTTGAATGCCTTCGTTGCGGAAGAGCGCCAGAACTCCAAGGGTCTGCCGTCCTTGAACATTGGTTCAAGTGCGCCAATGACCCTCGGGTCTGGCTTCGTACTTTCGCTTTTTTTTTTGAATCTATTCTTTGATCCTCGTGCTGACTCTGCGTGTAAGATACCTCGAAGGTCAGAGTCAGTACCGAGGATACGATATCATGCCTGTCATATCTGCCTTGAACCTGATCCTCGCCGCTCATCCGAATCGGGCGGCAGGTGGTGGAGTCATGGTCGGCAAAAACAGGTTCTTTCATCCGTCGGCTGCGTTCCCTCCTGTGTCCCTCGGCGGAGGCCTCGAGGCATGGCGAGGCTTCTACTCCTCGGTGCGGCCCACACACAAGCAGCTCATGGTGAACGTGAACGTGTGCACGACTGCATTCTACATCCCCGGCAATCTGGCAGAGCGTATGCAGGAATTTTCGCATGCAAGTTTCGGGGCACGCGTGAATGCCTTCGTGAAGCACTTGAGGGTCAAGGCGACTCACCTCGGGTATACTAAGACCATCAAAAGTGTGGCGAAGGTGACTGCTAAACAGTACAAGTTCAAGGCAGATGATATTGGTGAAGTTACCGTAGAACAGTATTTTCAAAGAAGTATGAGTTTTTCGTAATCATCAGTTTCTGCTGGACTCACAATGCATCTTGTACAGAGTATAGCATCCGCCTGCAGTATCCGGACCTTCCTCTGATCGACGTGGGTGGCCAGCGAGTCAACTACCTTCCTCCAGAACTTTGTGAGATCCTGCCGAAGCAGCCATACCGCGGGAAACTAACGGAGGAGCATACTGCCAACATGATTGGAATTGCATTGCAGCCACCCAATGTCAACGCGCGTGCGATCACCACCCGTGGCCTTGATGAGTTGGGCTTCAAGACTACCGCAAATCCGCTGAACGCGTTCGGCGTCAGCATCGGCACGCAGATGGCCGTGGTCCCCGGGCGAATCCTCCCTCCGCCTGCACTGCGCTACGGGCAGGGCTCGCCGAGGGTAGACGACCGCGCGAGCTGGAATCTGCGAGACGTCAAGTTCGCAGTGGGAGGCAGGCTGGACAAGTGGGCCGTCCTCCTCATCCAGGATGGAAACCCGAGGGACGAGTTCCAAGGTGTGAATGATCCCGAACTAAAGAGCGTCGTCAAAGGGTTCTCGTCTATGTGCGGGAAGTCGGGCATGCAGGTTGGCAGAGACGACCCAGCGTTCGCCGCCGTGCAGCTGCCGCGCAAGGACCCTTCTACAGACCCTATCCGCAAGCGTGCTATCGCTGCGATTCGCACCGAGCTAACGAACATAAAGTCGAAGCCCACGCTCGTCCTCGTAGTCCTCTCCGATGGTGACAAGCACATTTACTCAGGAATTAAGCATCTCTGCGACGTCTACCTCGGCGTCCCGACCGTGTGCGTGCAGTCTTCGAAGATTCGCAAGGAGAAGGGGCAGGTGCAGTACTACGCGAACGTCGCGCTGAAGGTGAACATGAAGATGGGCGGCGTGAACCATTCGCTGGACCCGAGGAATATGACATGGTTGAAGCAGATGCCCACGATGCTCGTCGGGATGGACGTGACGCACCCTGGTCCAGGCACCGTTAGGGGCACCCCTTCGATTGCGGCGGTAGTGGCAAGCGTCGACGATAAATACGGACAGTTCCCCTGTAGTATGCGCATTCAAGAGTCGAAGAAGGAGGTCCGCACTTCTGCTGTGCGTTGTGCTGACGAATTGTTGACATGCCACTGTAGATGATTACTGAGCTTGCAGAAATGATGGAAGAGAGGATTAAGCTTTTCCAGCAACGAAGCAAGGTGCTGCCAGAAAGAATTCTTGTTTACCGCGATGGTGTTTCAGAGGCAGGTGCCCTGATGTTGGCATTGGCACATCGAACTGACATATGTCTGCAGGGTCAGTTTGCGATCGTCGTCGCGGAGGAGATGCCAGAGATCAAGAAGGCATTCACGAAGTTCAGCACTGCACAGAAAGCCTACAAACCCAAGCTCACCATCGTCATCTGTGGCAAGCGGCACCATACCCGATTCTATCCCACGGAAGCACAGCATGCTGATAAGGACGGGAACCCGAAGGCGGGAACGGTGGTCGACCGGGGCGTGACCGCAGTCTACGATTTCGACTTCTTCCTTCAGGCACACGGAGGTACGATTACAATGTTCTTCTAACGTGGTCGCAGTGCCTCATTTCGTTTTATCCATAGGGTTGCAAGGCACAACTCGGCCGACGCACTACTACGTCGTCCACGACGAGATTGGCTTCAAGGCCAATCAGCTGCAAACTCTGACAAACGAAGTGAGCTTCATGTTCGCACGTGCCACGAAGGCAGTCAGCTTGGTCTCGCCTGCATATTACGCCGATCTTGCGTGCGAGCGCGGCAGGTGCTATCTGCATGCTCTCCTGCAGGGTATCTCCGACAGCGGTACGACCGCCTCAAGCGGAAGTGGAGAAGAGGAGATCAGGCGCGAGGCGGAGAAGATGTGGCGTGGTGGCGTCACTGGGAAGATGGCGGAGACTATGTTCTACCTCTGATCGTGGGCTCGGTTTTGTCTGGGTCGGCTACAGGCTCATCATGCTTCTTATCTGATGGATCGCTTGTTAATATGGATAGCTCTGTACGAATAAGCACATTGTATCGATTTCGAATAATGGGATTCCGAGTTCACATCTCGCATATATGAACAACGGAGCGACGTCAGCAACGATCTGCATGCTATTCACCGGCATCGCACTGGAAGATATTGACCACAGTCGGCAAGAAAGATACAGTCGTCTGGAAACATATACAACTCGTCCTCGAATTCCTAAGAACGTTTTAGCAATATAGCTGCACAAGAGGCGAAATATTTGCAGGCCGACAATCAGCATTGAGCAACTTTACCGAGCTTGGAGGTAGAAGGGCCAGGTGTACGAGGGTTTCGCCTTCCAGATGGCATAGATCTGTAAACGTCATGTCACGGATTCAATCATATGAAGCGGAGATTTTCAGGGAAGCGGCTTACTCGTAATAATGCGAGTCAACAGTGTCGATAGTATCCAGGGGAAACTCCGCCGCTTGCATCGTCGGAAGGTATAAACCAGTGGTGATATCCGCTGTGATGCCGTGGGCATAGTAGTGGCGAGCATTCAATCTATGGGCTGCGGATGAGACTAGACTCAAACGCAATCACTGACTTCGAAACGTACACTGCAAGCAGAGAATTGACGTAGACTGAGTGGAATCGTTGACATGGCTTGTGTGAGAGCGAGACCGATAAACCGAGAATGTGAGTAAATACTGACTTTTGCTTCCTGGAAAGTGGAAGATAGACCAATACACGGCATTCTTCGGGAAGGCAACAAACTTCAGTCGTCCCAGTGAGATTTAACTACTAAAGGCCAACGTAGACGAGACTCCACCTACCATCACCAAAGTCATCACTTGAATGACGCTACGATATCGGGCCTTGTCAATGCATAGTATGACAACGAAGAGATGGGATTCCGTACGCTGTAAGCATCCCGCGGTTGATCACATGCACGGTTAGTTTGCGTATGAGCTTCTCCGTGCTGCGCGGTCATACTCAATCGGACAGAAATGAAATCATTGCTAGAATGGACGCACTATCCCACACCGCTCCGCCCTCCATTCAAGACCCACGTCAGTGTGGCCGAAATGAATATATCCACAACGGAAGCCGTGGTGATTTGTACGATTGCTGATGTCTAGAGAGTAACGCATCAATTAACTTGACAGACTGTGATCAAAACCCAGCATTCACTTCTGCTTTGGCAAAGATATCCGGATACCCTGGATCGCGAATGCTAATGGTTTATAATAGGTCTCAACGGTCGTCCATACTATGGGGCCCTCCTTGTATGACTCACGCAATATATACATTCACTGGAATTGGCATAAGCATCAGTAGGAAGGCTTCACCTGATGGGACGGCGCACCCAAGGCACAGACTGTAAAGGCAGAGTTTAGCGCTTGGTTGATGATTTACATAATATCTCAGATAGCCTACCGCATGATACAAGAGCGCATATAACCTGTACAAGAATGAACTGTAATAGAGAGAAGAATCGTAGAAGCGATTGCTCACCATGCTTACAACGAGAGCTAATTTCAGGTTGTGTCGTCTTTCGGCCAACACTAAAGTAATCAACAGTTAATAAAGAGCTCTTGGATTATGCAATAAAAACGTGCATGTCCAGATCGTGCGCATGTAGTAACTTGAATTAGAGTAAGTTCGGTGAATAAGCATTTCATATTGAACACAAAGATACCATTGTACAATGAGGACCATTACCGCCTATTGGTGTTCATGAGTTTACGAGCAGCATATGAAGAAAGTTTGATAATCACTGCTAGTGAGTATTCGATCTAAGGTAATTTGTCAGTTAATTGAGTACAATCATCTTCCAAGAAATCCTGACCGAAGTATCACTACCTTTTACGTCAGTGATTTAGCGATAACTTCATCACGGCGACTCACCCGAAGAGAACATCATGTCCGCTAAGATTAGCATGGCCGGCGACCAAATACCGCCACACTATCTGTGTACTTGTGAGAGAGCACATGACGCTCGCAGCATAAGAGGTACCTTGATATCAACGATAGTAGCCACCGTATCCATGGACCTATCATGCTTGCTTCGCAATGAACCGGTCTCCGCAACTGATGAAGACTCACCATAATATCGCCACCTGTTCGAGGGTCAGAGGCGATTAGAGCAATTCGCTGTTATGCAGACACATACCAGGCTCCGCAGCGATGACCTGTCTTTGCGGTAGTGCCACATATAATACAGGACCTGTGCACATGTGCAACCGTAGAAACTGAAAATAATGGAAGTGAGTGCAGGAACATAATGGTCGAAATGCATCGAGTCGCACAGCTGCGAGAACAAAACGCCGATAAGGGTGGCGCCCATAGAATCGCCCAGGTGAAGGTTGAGTCCGGTCATGTTTCACTGGCAGCTTGAGCACTGAAAAATGAACAGTAAACTGGGTGGCCGAAACACACCTCTAGAAGACTTCTTATATGGGGCTCGTGCGAGAACTGAGAAGGTTGATGGACGGGAACCACTCACCGCCGTTCATTCTCCACTTCTTTCGCTGCGTAGTGACACTTCAGAGAAGTATGCTTGATTTGGGAAGCATAATGGAAGATGCCCACGCATAAGGAAAACTCAAACCCGGCTTAGAACACTTTCATCCGCTTGCCGTCACCAAAAGAGGACAGAAAGCTCGAAAACGTCTCAGGACCTTCTTGTTTTGAACTTTTTTCTGGCTTGAAAGCTTCTTGTTGTGTTCTTATTCACTTGTACAAGCCAATACCAGCAAGGACAGGTCAAAAAGGAGGTTCTCGACCACAAGTCGATTTGATGCACCATGTAAGCTTGTTTGAGTTCAACTTGCACATTTGCCGAGTTAAGTCCTTTGACCGCTTCCATCAAACCACAGGTGGTCCAGGCAGTCTTCTCCAATCCTTGAAACATGGTCTCTGCCAGGATGAGTTACACGCTTGCCGCCTGCAGTTTGCACGAAAATCATCAAACCACCGCGGGTAAGTACTAAGTCCGACGGCGATCCCGGGCCTTCTGGCCGCGCGGGCCTCGAGGGCAGTCAGCCGGATTTGTGGCAGATACTCCGGAAGGTTCTGTCAATCCTGACAAGGCGGGAGCCACATGGATCCGCACCGGAGATAAACTGCCACTCTTCCCGTGACATGATGCATTGATGGACGGCCGATTCAGGCTTGTAATGAACGAAGACGTAGGCAGATACTGCCACGCGGCCATTCACGTCAGTCCCATAAATCTCAGAGTCTTTCATCGCAATGTTAGAGAATATTGGAAAGACGTATGCGCCGGGCAACAGGGCATTATTCTGCCTATAGGTCGCAAAGTACTCAATGCGGTGCGCAATGTGTCCCTAGCTATCGCCGAACGAAAAGCGCGAAGATTAGACCTAGCTATTTGCTGATCCTGCATAATCGGGCACTTTAGAGACGACTGTACATGTAAGCTTTGGTTGGTTTAACACGTACCACTGCACATATAGTTGGCCCATGCTCGAAATCATTTTGAAGCTGGCCAGCATTTTGTATTGGGAATCTATATCCGAGACTGTTTTGTGAATTGCTGTAAACTGTAAGCTGGAACGATGCTCCGCTGAGGTACTCCAGAGTGTTTATAGTGGCTTATACTACGAGCCGAACACAACGTGTCAAGAGCAACAGCTCGATTTTAGGATTTACGACCGAGAGTTTGAGAGGAACTGTATGAGCGTCGAACGACGTCAGGAATGATCTGCATGCTATTCACCGGCATCAGATTGGAGTATATTGATCACAGTCGGCAAGAGAGATACAGTCGTGTGGAAACATGTACAACTCGTCCCTGTATTTTAAGGACTTTCTAGCAATATAGGTGCACAAGAAGCGAAATATTTGCAGGGTGACCAATCAGCATTGAGCAACTTTACCGAGCTTGGATGTAGAAGGACCAGGTGCATGAGGGTCATTTCGCCTTCCAGATGGCATCGATCTGTAAATATCACGTCACGGATTCAATCGTATGAAGAGAAGATATGCAGGGATGTGACTTACTCATAATGATGCGAGAACTCCGCCGCTTGCATCGTCGGAAGGTATAGACCAGTGGTGATATCTGCTGCCATGCCGTGGGCATAGCAGTGGCACGCATTCAAACTATGGGCTGTGGATGAGATCGGCTCACACGCATTTACTGACTTCGAAACGTACATTGCAAGCAGAGAGTTTACATAGACTGGGCGGAGTCGTTGACATGGCTTGTGTGAGAGCGAGATCAATAAACTGAGGATGTGAGTAAATGCTGACTTTTGCTTCCTGGAAGGTGGAAGATTGACCAATATACTGCGTTCTTCGGAAAGGTGACATACCACAGTCATCCCAGTGAGGTTTAGCTACTAAAGGTTAACATGGACGAGACTTCACTTACCGTCACCAGAGTCATCACTTGTACGACACTACGATATCCAGCCTTGTCAATGCATAGTATGGCAATGAAGAGATAGGATTTCCGTATGCTATAAGCATTCCGCGGTTGATCACATGCATGATTAGTTTGTGTATGAGCTTTTCCGTGCTGCGTGGTCCCCCTCAATCGGACAGAAGTGAAATCATTGCTAGGGTGGACACACTGTCTCACACCATTCCGCCCTCCATTTGAGATTGTCACAGTATATTAGCACTTCCCTATTCGGAAGGCTCTACTGTAACAGGACTCAAGCAGCGTCACTAAAGCCAGCCCAAAAGCCATGCGACATCATTGATGATCAGCTAAGCGCTCAAGGATCTTATCGATTGTAGGCGCCAATCGCCACATCACGTGACCCATAAGGTAGCGCCCTATCAAGCGCTCCTGGCACGTGACCTTAAGAGATGCCCAAGCACCTGACATCCTGATAGCCGCTCAATAGGCTTGGGCATAGGCACGGGACACTGAGGTCTGGATTGGTAAGGAGGTCGGCCTTATACCTCATGGCTGAGATGGCACCCCGACGGAATGCTGCACGGACCATGATCTTATCTATGAGTCTACGGCCCACCAATGACCATGTAGTATTTACTAGTAGGTACATTGCTATTGGCTGTAGCACATTATGTAATATGCACATGTGGCTTGCCAGGACCCCAGTAGGTACACATAGTTAGAGTGACCAGGGGCCAGCCCTACATGTATATATATGCCTTATGCGACTGAGGTAGCCCTCAGTCTTATTCATCTATTTCTCACATCCATCGTGGCTTGCCACAACCCTTCATCCCTGAGTCAGCTCGACAGTGAGGCCTATCGCCACTCACTTGTCTTTGCCTACCATTGGCTGATAGGGGGCTCGCCACCCTTTTATGTTGGATCTTGAGTCACCGCTCCAAGTGGGACCCTGGGGCCTTACAAGGCACTCAGTATAAAGGTCACCCGTGAGCGGGTCATGTGTGAAGCACCCATGGACGTCATGTCTTGTGTGGCAAAGCTTAGCCGTGACATTTGAATAAGACTCAACCACCTGCCTTCGGCCTCAGGCTGACTGCGGGGAGTGACCTGAGGATCCTTTGAGGACCAGGCACTTTTAGACCTGAGCAGGTCTTTAAACTGCATCGTTTTTGCTCAGAGATATTCCGCCCAAGAGCAGGGCTTTTTCCACATCACTTCCTTCACTATTCCTACGACTCTACCCACTGTAAGCCGCTCACTGCCTACAAGAGGTATCAGCGCATGTTGCTTCCTTCACACCTCCATGAGGGTGAACAGCCAGAAACCATTCAGTGTTCGCTGGGGTCAAGATCTAGGAGTGGGTACATGGATTGAAGGATCTTTGGGATCATTAGACAAGGTGTAGCATACCTGTGTCGATTATAGGAATATACTCTAGGGCCCCTGATAAAGCCATCGCGCATCAAAGCGATTTTGCCTAAAGCTGGCCCACTCAAAAGCTTCGCCCGGCACGAAAAACACTTCGAGTTATTCGTGACCGTGTATCCGAGGACCTATGCGCATGTCCTCGATAGAAGAAAAATAAACTGCGAGCAAACATCCTACATTTTGATGAAGATCAAAAGGCGGGCCTAGAACAAGTCCGAAGACCTCGGCAAAAACTCGTTATCAATGTAGATCGAAGAATCCATATAGGATAAGGGTCATAAACCCAGCATGCCAGCCTGGAATGCTACCAGTTTAAGCCTTTGCATGCAAAAGAGTGTGTTTAGTCAGCACACGTTCTGTTCAAGAACATTCTGTGGAACGAACAGCGCAAGTCGAGAAGAACTCATCCAAGCACACGGTAGTCTTTTGATTATTAACTGTGGGCGGATAGAGTATAAATTCGAAGAACGACACAAAGAATAGTTCAACACTGGGACAAATGGGGATACTATGGGAAACATTCATTCCAAGTCTTACACGATAAAAAAATGCAACCAAGGTGCATGTTGAATCGAAAAACTGCCACCCATCGCGTTTGGAATGTGACACTATTGCGCATCTTTGTTCAAGCAATCTACCACTCAAGCGACCCAATTTGTGGTCCAATGAGTGGATGCTGGCACTTGACCACAGGAGTCCTGCCAGAAGACCTAGTGCAAGTCAGAATAAACTGCAAACCTGCTGAACACATCCAATTTTTTGATTCCCCCCCACCCACCCTATATTGTTTCTTATTCATTCTCTCCCTTGGGTCACCCCTCGCACGTCACCCAGGAGTGCACGGCTGTGGGTGATTAGACCCAGGTGGGTCTTGCCTAGTGCCAGCCTGCTCCCGGAGAAGAGCTTGGCAAGGAGTGGGTAATATGGGTATATAGGCATGTGCGTAATGTAGTGAAGCATAATGACCTGGTCTCTACGGATGACCATTAGATGTAGGCCAAAGGCCACGCTCCTCCGAATCTATGAGGAGGATTCATGCTATGTCAGACATGTGTCGACTAGCATAGAACTATGGCATTCGGATGGGAGAACCTATACCACCCTTGACCATTGGGAAAAGGATATAAGACCTTGAAAGGCTGAAGGGCGAGCGCAGCGCAGTATTCCCTGAACCTTCAAGGCTTATCCACAGAGAGGCACGAAACTGGCCGTAACCGTTGGGAAAGCCACAGGCTGGTTACATAGCCACAGTTCGTATAGCCGAATCTGAAGTATCACTTTTAGCTCTAATTTTACGCCTCAAAATCAACCAGTTGAGTCATACGAAAAGACCTATGAACTCGTGGACAAGATGGATCATGCAAGAGTTTTGCCATATGCCACTCAGCATCTCATCACATTCCAACGACCACTCGCCACACTACGCATGAACACGACCGCTGGTTAGATCAAAAATAGAAAGGAAATAGGCACACCTTTCAAATAAGAAACTGCAGCTTATGCATCACACCCTGACATGGTGCTGTAACAAGCCGAGTGCCTCCTAAGCATGAGGTTAAACTGCAGATCCCAGGTCCTATGCGC